ACAGCTGCTTATTTGGTGTTGCAATTAACAGGACAAAATAAGCATGCACCTCTCAAATGTTCATTATAATCTCATTATATACTGTCATACTAGTTCCACCAGCTTCACAATCATTAGGGAATCTTCATCTGACACTATAATTAGTGGGAGTGCGCTCAATTATCTTGTTACTGAGGCAACAAAGTGTATAAAGCCAAAACTCAGATTTAAATGATTTTAAAGCCATCATTACAGGTTCATGTTTATATAATCTTTGAAAGACAAACAGATTACACTTTTTTAATGCAACTGGGGGCTTGAAATTCCCCTAATATATATATAACTGTGGCATAGTTAATCTGGTTCATTTCTTCTTTTTTCTTTTTTGGCTAGTAGTAGTTCTGAATGGCCGGTAACTTAAAAGAGACTGAAGTTCATTTTAAACCCTGGTTAAAAGGATAGTTCAAGTTGTTCCAACCCTCTATGACTTCCTTACTGCAGAACAAAAAGTAATATTTTGAAGTATGTTGGTAACAAAACGGTCCTGGTGATTATTGACTTCCATTGTATGGACAAAACATTTTTTCCTCAAAATATCTTCATGTTCCACAGAAGAAAGAAAGCCATAAAGGCTTGGAACGACATGAGGGTGAATAAATGATGAAAGAATTTTCATTTTTGGGTGAACTATTCCTACATACAAATTATGGAGTTCATATCTTTGCATTGAGATTAAATGAACACGTTATTTCAAAAACGTTCTGTTCCTGCTGCAGGTCCAGCTATGCCTGTCATGTTGGGTGACTGAACAGGTGTGCGTTTTATACCTCAAGCAGAGAATGACTTATACAGGTCACATAAAGAGAGGGAAAATGAGGGTGTTGTGTGTGTGTGTTTTGTCCAGTCAGAGGCCAAGAATAGCACCGCTGTAGGGTCAGTATGACTCTGTCAGGTACACATACAAACACAAAAAAAAACAGTAAATGTCTACAAACAAGTACATGGAAAAACACTACAGAATATGGTAACCTGAACATTCACACACCTACAAAGACAATTTCATTTTAAACCATAGTGAGGTATGGAAAGAGTGATTTTGTGGGAAGTCAGTAGGATCTGTAAGAGCAGAACAGTTATCAAGCTAAATAACCACAACAATGCATCCTACATATATTAGTGTGTACATACAACACACTCATTGCTGTTACACTCAATGAGCACTGATAGAATGTACACTCGATATATAAGTCGCAATTTATAATGATAATAACATTATCGTAATTGGACTAGGCAAAGGCAGCTTGTGATTGTGTGTGGGGGGGTGGGGGGGTTGGGTCATGTTTCTGGATTCCTTGCTTTAAAGGGTCATGACCCCCCTCTTTCAGCTCAAGTCTAGCTCACAATATTTTTGAAAAATGTAACTTAAATGTCATTATAAAATATATAATGGTTTATATAGACAGTATAATGCATTTGAAAATTATTAAAGGCATAGTTCACTTTTCAAAAAACGTTTTTTTTTTAAACAAAAAAAACAAAAACAAAGTTTAAGTTTTATAAGCTCAAATGGTCATAAAAACCAACAAATCTTTTTCCGAGTCAATTCGTTCGTTTCGTTCATTGAATGAATCAAATGACTCGGAAAAAGGTTCGTTCATTTTGATGAATGAGTTCGAACAGGAGAGTCACTAACGTGCGTCACAGAACAGAGCAAGGTGAGCATTTGAGCTTATAAAACTTAAACTTTGTTATTTATTTATTAAATGAGCGATCGTTTTGCTTGATAAGACCCTTAGTCATCGTCTGGAATCGTTTAAAGCCCTTTGAACAGTTTGCAGTTTGTACTGAAACTGTCTTTTGGACCTTGAACAGTTTGGTTCCCACTGAATTGCTTTATATGGAGAAAAATGCTGTAATATTTTCATCCAAAAATGTAATTTCTTTTAGACTGAAGAAAGAATTACATGGACATCTTGGATGACATGGGGAGGAGTAAATTATCAGCAAACATTTTCTCAAAAGTGAACTACTCCTTTAATTTTCTGCTTAAAAAAAATCATCAGATATCCGTGCACTGCCTAGATCTACACGCCCCCTAAACCCCCATAGTAAAGCGAAGATTTTAAACCCGAAAGACAAAAAAAGCTTAAAAAAGCTCAATTTTAACCATTTTTAACCCTACAATTAAATCTAACAGACGCTAACATGGTCTTAAATCACCACACATACCTCTGTTAAAATCTCAGAAAATTTGGTTTGGGATTTCATAACCCTTTAAACAAATTCTCGGAGAATCTGATATACCTCGTACTTCTGGCTTCCAGTAGGTTGGTGTTTCTGGAAAATGGTGACACTGGAGACTAAAGGGTTCCTGATGGTTTCACACTATATACTGTATATCATGTCATTAGCATTATTTAAAATTCCCACCATACCACAAACCACACACACAAAAGTGTAATCATACATCACGGCTTTCATTTGAAAACGCATGAATTCCAAATCTTTCAAAGACAAACACATTCATACACAAAATCCCATGACTTTCTGCCCTCTGTTGTCCTCTAACTAAGAGGGCCATTTCAGGCGGACACATCCTCCATCTTCCACAGACTGTTTTCTCTCTCTCGTCAAGGGCAGCCGGCCACGTGTCATATTTTAACCTGATCTTACTTTGATGGCCTGTCTTTTTTCTCCTTCAGACAACACACACACACACACTCTGTGAGAGATATCCATCCAGCCTTTTCTGTTCTCCACACAGTGTGCCGCTCTCCATCTCTCCTCGTCTAATCTAACACAGATCAGTGGCTTAAACTTATTAGTGTAGAGGTGAGGTAAATCTCCTCCGCTCACTAACGCTGAAAAATGACACTGCTGGATTAGTGGCGGCCACAATCAGAGCATTAAACACACATGCACATTTACACCAAGACGCAGCCTGTAAAGCACTCTTAATCACAGAGGTATTCAAAGGGGAGGAGAAATAGAGAGGGAGAGCGTGCATCCTTGAAAGATGTGGATGGCCGCACATCTATCAAATCTCCGCTGTAAGCGCTGGACCGCTCATATAGGTGAAGAGGAGGGACGGCAGTCAACTCCAGGAAATAAGAAAATGATTAAGAGTGATTTAATGTCACAGAATGTGGAGAAAACGTGCATCTGTCCGACAGAGAATGATGTTATTACACCGCCTTCCTTGCACCTCTTCGTCTCTCCGCTGCCTTTCTCTATCCCTCGATGCAGTTTCATCTTTAAGAGCGATGATGCTTGTATATAAACTCAGTGATTGGAAACCAGGAGAACAGCCACAGTGATGAACTAACACGAGGAGCCCACATCAAATCAATACAATTTGCGTCAGGTTGAATACGGCACTCATAATGAAATATGGCCTCACTAACCATTACAACAAAATTAGATGGGGGACACTGGGATATCCTGTGGTACATCTGGATGCAGGCAGACTGTTTATGAATTAACTACTGCATCGATTTCAGTTTGATGTATATCGTGTGGTCACATGTACACCTTAAAGGGGTCGTTTAACAAAATAATGAAAATTCTAAGATCCTCTACTCCTGCATTATACCTTTCCAGATTTCCCAGGCTGAAATTAAACCTCCCATAGCGAAACAATCTGGAATGACATTCAAATCAAAATTTAAAAAGGGAAAAGATAGTGCCAATCCCTGGTATGTTCGCACACATTTATAAAGTATTCTACTTGCCTGTTGTCATTCTGGTGTGTCATTCACATTTGCTGTTCTACTATATTCACAAAGTTAAATGCAAACTAATGCACCACTATTTATACAAACACATAATATATAAACAAATATGAGGGATCTTAGTATATTTATCAGTAAATGAGAACATTTCATTTTTTCATTTCCATTTAATTTTAAAATGATCAAAATAAAATCTCACTAAATTTTTGTTGATTGATGTGAAGAAAAAAATGAATAAAATGAAACAAATGTGATCGTGAAAAAATGTTTTCATATTATAACTATATTATTGATTTATACGGACACACACACACATATGCACATACATATATATATACATACATATATATATATATATATATATATATATATATATATACATACACACACACACACACATACACACACACTAACCCACACATTGGTTAACTTTGAATTACAGGACCTTTCAAGGACTTTCCGGGTCCAATACCTTCAAATTCAGGACTTAATGTGGGGACACGTGTTGTGTTCAACAACAAACGTTGAGGTTCCATCGTAGTAGTTTCGTACGACCGTGAACGTCATCGCAAAGTACAACACAAAGCACCTCACGCGGGAAACACTTAACGCAACACATAAATGCGTGTAACTTAAGTAAATCAAGCTAGCTAGTGTATATAGGCCACAAAGTGTTGGCGAAACACACTTTCATCTGAACGGAGGGAATAATATGGATTTTTCCAGAAAACTTCTTGCACAAAATAAATTCAAGCACTTTCAAGGACCTCTATCTATGTGTGTTTACTTTCCAAAACTTTCCAGGGCCTTGTTTTTTCATTTTTCAGATTCACAAACTTTCAAGGATTTTAAGGACCCGTGGGAACCCTGTTATATCACTGCGTTCCCAGCTGTTATCCGTGCAAGGCTGCATGGATGAAATGGGGGTTCTTGTCCAGAACAGAACCATACCACCAATCTAAACCGTTTGCTAATTGTCAGTTTTCTTTAACGGAAGTTGTCTTGACAGAAATGTACTGCACGGTCAAAACTGACTACTTTGGGGATACTTTTGTTCTTTGCAGCTTGGCAGCCCTATTTACAATCCACTTTCTTTAAATGGAAAACAACATCTGGATATTCAGCTAAATATATCTTTTGTGCTCCACGGATGGTAAAAATTAAGCATGCTTGGAAAAGTGAGCAGATGAGGACAAATTCTGGGTGTGAAATCTATTCCTTAAAGAGCCATACTCTCTGATTTACAAACACAGACAGACATACTTGTAAACATAAAGAGAAATATCTCACCTTGGCATTTCCCTCCATTAGTTGGGTCTCCATAGTAACCAGGTAGACAGATCTGGCACTGCGACCCAGTTGTGAGATTCTTGCACTGCTCACATACACTGCCATTAACACACACACTGTGTCCGTTACACTGACATGCTGAAACAAAGAAAGAAGAATGTGTGTTCATTTGATTAGACTTTTTTCAAAACACACCATCATTTACAGGTTTTGATCAGTGCACACATGTGTTTTTTATGCGTACCTGGGCAGGTTATGTAGGCCCAGTCATAGCCTTTTTCCCTTGAACAGATACTGGTGTCCAATACCCTCTCTCGGCTCTGTCTACTCAGGCTCCTCATTGGTCCACGGTATGATCCCTCAATACACTGGCCCTGACCTGTGTCTGTGGGGTCTCCGCACCAACCACAATCAGGCTGTCCCAGGCACTGACCACATGTACGATGACCTGAACAGTTCTGAACTAGAAAGAGAGAAGATTTAGATCAATTTTAGCCTTATTGACCTCCAAAGCACCATCAGTAATCTCCACTAAAACTATTAAAATTGTTTACTTTATTTGTATTAAAATCGTGAAAAACTTAGTGTAACTTAGTAAAACTTTAAGCTTTTCGAACACTTTATTTTGATGGTCCCCCAACAGACATACGTCGCCTTTTTGTACTTAACCGAAACCTAACACCTAATTCTAACCTAAAAGTCTACTAATACTCTAATGAGAGTTAGTTGACATGAAGTTCCAAAGTTACTTTAGTTAGTACAGTAGTGTCTAAAGAGGACAATCAAAATAAAGTGTAACCTAAATGGAAGCTGACAAACTGACAAAAGCCCAAAACTGAGAAGATAAAAACTAAAAGCAAGTTTTATTAAAAATATTAAAGCTACATATGATAAACTAAAATGTTATTAATGAGAGAGTGCAAAAAAAACATTTGTTGTTTGTCTTTTGTATTACTTGATTTTTTGCATCTTATTGCATGCAAAGTCACATTATATCATATTGTTACCAGCACTGAAATTTACTCTGCCTGTGTGTTGTTGAATGACCTTTTAATTTCAAACAAATTGAGTTTTGTGCCATTACATTATGAATGTGTATTCATCCAATGTGCCTGACATTCAGAGTGCTGGACATTTGAGACACACGGGACAGGATCAGATAATTTACATTCTCTGTGCCACTAGGGTTTTTTTTTTTTTATAACAGTTTTATATAAAAGTTTTCTGAGCCCATCAGTAATGACCTCCCTTCGTTTTTAGATATTTGTGTGAGTGGGAGCAGAAAATGTATGCATGCAATGGGGACAGAAAAAGCGTCCATCAATGTACCCTTCGACCAGACCCCGTCTAATGGGTCCTTAGACAGTGTGAGGGTCAAAAAGTGTCTCGGGGTTAATGGCGAGGGCAGATACTGAGATGTTGAGTGTGTCATTAAAAACAGGGAAGAAAGACACACTGAGGGAACGCCACCACAGTCAATGTGATACTCAGAAGTGAAAGTAAGATGGGAAAGAGGAGCTGTTTGAAGTGCCACAGGGTTTGACCTTCCATATCATATTCAAAAATGTGCTGTTTGGAAACATAAGGAGTTTCTATTTAGACTTTTTTAAGGTGTAGTTTTATAATCTACGAGTCTTCCAGGTCATTATCACAACTGGAGGTTATTAAATTGAAAATACATCTAAAAAGCAAAGCTAAGGCATCAAAATAAATAATTAATTGGATCAATGAAGGTAAGCAGCAAAGACATTGAAGAATAAATTGATATTAAATGCATAAAGTATATTTGTATTATTTAACAAATTTAATTATTGCATGTTTGGTTAATATTATGAGTTTGCATTGCGCTGTTTTTTTTTAACTAATACTGAATCTGTTTTTTGTGTAAGTGAGAGAATTAAATGCATGCACACATTTAGTCTAGTACTACGATAACCATTATGTTACATGTAATGCATCACCACCAACACCTTTCAAAGGACATCTAAATGTAAATAATAGAATGGGAAATGATCCACAATCAGCCAATACAGTATTCAACCAAACGAAACCTTTAAAAGGAGGTTCTCAAGCAAGGGCCGAGGCCCACTAATAGGCCTCAAGATTACATTTCATTCTAGGGACAAATCCTAGGGTTATAAATGGACATGCAAAGCCATATCTGGAGACTTTTTGCCCTTACCTTAGCCACATACCTTCTATATCAGAGAACAATATTAAATATAGTATCAATGCATTCTATGGCACCTTTAAATTCAAAACGCCATTACCATTTTCTTAGCCATGTCAAGCCCTAAAATATTGGATCAACAAGAAATTGTGAGAAACTTTTTTTTTTAAGTCAAAAAGGTTGAAAACCACTGCTAAAAATGCGGGAAAACTTCCATATCAGCCAATAACCAATATCCACTTTCAAAATTCTTCAGTGGTCATCGATGTCTTAACATTAACCAGCATTCAGGCCAAACCATTGAGTGAGTAAATTTAAACTGTTTGCTGTAGCCTGTATACACATCAATGAACAACAAGATTTGAAAAGTTTTCTGACATTCTGTGGAAGTTATGTGGATATTTGCATGTTCTTTTGCGTTGGTGATCTAGATTTCCATAGCAGACAGATGTGTTAGGTGAACTTTTTGCCCAGAAGCTCCTCTCTCCTCCTGCATTATTCACGCCCAATGCAATGAATCATTTGCATTCGGCATAATCACAGAGGTGTTTCATAATTACAAACACAATTCTCATCTCTTACTCTCTAACTTTATCTCGCTCCCTCCTTTCCTTTTTTGTGTTTAGCAAAAGAAATGAGGATTATCTTTAGCCAAGGACACCTAAACATTCATTACAAATGCAAATCTATACAACATTCTCAATGTTGAAAAAAAAAAAAACCTCCTTCAAATACAACTTTAACAAAAGTGTTAAAACATTTATAAATGTAACAATTAAAACCTGTTCTAGGAATGTTTGACCCAATGACAACAACATGAAATCTCTGTCTACAGCAAGACACCATATGTCTCGTGGACAGGTTCACCTGGGACAGGGACATCTGTCAAATAGATTGCTGTCAGGATTAACAAGCATAAAGTGGAAAAGAAAAGATTTAATAGATAATTATTGGCGGTCTATGTAACTTTCCAGAGAGAGGAAGTCCCATGTGGCAAAACCACATAGACATTGAGGTAGGCACGTCCCCCTCACTATTCAGGAAAATGGGGTTTGCAAAAACTGATTTTACATTTTTACACACATCTTTGGACATGTGATCTTAAAATGGCCAAGTTCGATATGTCACTTGTTTCATGTAAGTGAATAAAAGAATGAAGAATAAAAAAAGAAACTTTTATTCATCAAGGATTGTAAACAGTGACAGTGCGACATTTATGATGTCATAAATATCTTCAAATAAATTCTGTTCTTTTAAGCTTTCTATTAAAAAATCCTGAAAAATTAGAAAAATAATGCTTGATAATTTCCACAAAAATATTAAACAGCTCATCTATTTTCTATTATAAGTTATTTTGAATTGCAAAAATATAATACAGAATATTTCTATTTTTACTGTATTTTCCATCAAAGAAATCAATTGGAGAGCATAAGACAGATTTTTTTTATTTTGCAAGTATTTTCAGGGTAAACATTTTCTAATGTGGAATCCAGTTGCTAACAAGGGACATACAATTTATGAACAGAAAGAATAATGAGGTGGAAATTTATGAAAAAAAAAAAGTATGCTCACCATACTGCTTTACTTTTTGCCTCAAGAATGTTCACACATTTGTCTGTTTAAAAACAAAGACTTTTTTAAAACAAAAAATTACAAATACTTCAAACTCATTTCATACCGTAACAATAAAACACAATGGCCGACTTGCAACATGTTGGCACATTGTACTATATGGTTTTTCTTTTATCTCAACTTCTGCATTGAAAAGGCTATATTTGCGGAGTATATTGAGCCAGTGAAGAAGTTCATTTCCATTTTGCATATTATCATGCTGTCAAGCTGTTTTTTTTTATCTCTGTGCGGGCCTTTGTTTAAATATGAAAACTGCACTTTTTCTAATGAAATTATCCTCTATCACAGCAGGTACATCTATGGGGCATTTCACACCAAAGAATCATTCAGCAAAATATTTTCTGCGGCCATGAACCAACTCCTTGGAGGAAGAAAAGTGATCCTCAGGCAATTCACTTCCATCAGAGAGCTGACCTTAATGATGTTTATTGTCTGACAGATCGCCTCAATGAAATACAGCCATCAACATCCCAGTTAACAATGCACTGGAGGCCTTTAGTCTCTGCGCTCCAGATAAAATCAATGACCAGCACATCCACAGAGAAAGAACAGTAATATCTGTGTAACTCTATAATGGCGAATGGAATGGGAGTTTGTGGTCTCAGGGTCTCAAGGCCATGAAAAGACTTTCAACTTCCTGAGACACTATAGACAGGCAATTCCGCCTGTCAGGATTTTGTAGTAGTATTTTTTCTGGAGAAATATGTTGGTTATTAAGCACTACGCCTCTCAGTTGGACTGCATATCTATTTTTCATTCTCAGCTGCTCATTTACACCGCATTACAATGCCAGCTTCGAGTGCCTCTTAATGCAGAAGAAAATAATGATTTCATGCATCTACAAACTTGCTGATGACTATACAAGGTAGGTCCGCGTCAGCTACTCATAAGGCTTTTCTGAGACGATTACCATCAGTCATTTCAGATACTTTGGCATGGTTCTGTTGTTTTGGACCGCATGATATTACTCTTGTGTATAGGGATATTTCTGCAAATCTACTTAGAAAGAACAAGAGGAGCTGTTGAATCATAAAGTGACTGAGCAGAGATCTGAACAGCCTCAGTTTCAGACGGCACACCCATGAACCGCCCACAGTTCGCACACTGACACATTATGTACTGTATATAAGAATGGTAATCTAAGTGTCTGGCTTTATGGAAAAAGGAGCATTTGAAAAAATGCCTCCAAAACAAAGCTGGTTTTACAAAGAACCAAACTGATAAAATTACCAATGTTAATGATGGAATATTCAGATTTATACTACAGGGCTGTTGAATGCTTGATTCTGATTGGTTGAGAACGTTTTAAAGGTGTGCAATTATTTTCAGGGAAACGCACGGCTAAAGTAGTTTCAGGCAGATTTGACCGCATTACAGTTCCATATCACTGCGCGTAGTTAACTCTAATAATGGAAAATAGGATACAATTCACAACAAGAAAAATCTCTTCCTCTCTCTAACAACTGCATAAAGCCGGGACACACTAAGGCCAACTAAGAATGTAATTTGATACTTATGACTGATCATGCCCAAACGCGTTTTCAGCGCGTTTAGTCTGTGTTCACAGTTGGTGTTCAAGACCTGCTTCAGTCGATGGAAACGGTCGGTCTTTGAATGTTTTAGCGAGTCGTAAGTGTACCCACATTATTAGACTGCTATCAATGGCTCAAACCTCCGTTACTACCTCTAAAATGACGTTTTGGAATTAACAACGGATTATATGCGTAAGAAATTAGTCCTACAAGAGCGTTTTAATGACAAAAACTTGACAAACGTCTTGATATGCATCATCTGAACAATGTTTTGAGGTGTGGTAACTGTAGTATAAGCGGAATAATTGACTTCAGGCCGTTGAATTATCTGAAAAATAATGCACACCCAAGGTGTAAACGCCACTTCGCATCGTGACCGCATTACCACCTCGGGTGTACATTATTTTTCGAATAATTCAACGGCCTGCCATCAATTATTCCTTACTCGCCAGATTAGAGACATCAAATCTTGACAAAAGATTTATTCTATTAAAGTTTCCGTCAACATAACTGTTGTGCTTAGAAAAAAAGGTCACGTTTCTAATGGGTCCAAGTTCCAAAGGTTTTGGAACACTTTTGTATTTGTTCTTATTCTTTTTTTTTTTTTTTGTACCAATTTGTAGAGACGCCAAAGTTGGTGGGATAATCAGAAATCTCTAGAACTACAAGGGCTTAAGGAAATGTCTGCATTTCTTTTCTCTCTATACAGTTTTTTTTCTGCTCTCTTCAGTTAAGAAAAAAAATCCTTTTACAAACACAGCTTTAAACAGGCAAAACGTTTACAAAATAATTTTAAACATTGAGGTTTAATTAATTGACTTATGTGCTGAAGGCATAATTCAAACTTAGCAAAATTTGGCATACATAGAAAACCAGACATTCTGAGGATTCACGCTAATTTGAGTCAAATTCTGCCCATAGGTGGCGCTACAAATGGAAAAAGTCCAAAGCATTTATCACATATTTTGAGAAATGTCTTAATGTTTATCCACGGAAAGGATATGGGTCAGCAAAACTGCATTCTTAAAAATATCTTCTTTTGTGTTTGCAGAAATTTGGTACGACATGAGGGTGAGTAAATGTTTGTAAGATTTTTATTTTTGCTTAAATTGTCGCTTTAAGGAAATATTTGCAGTGCTGAATTGCTATAACTTATTCATGGAAAACCCCATCGCTAACAGGCACATAAACATATCAGACTGTCTCTTGCTGTCTAAGTGGGCAATTCATGGCCAGAAAACCTGCAATGATGACCAGACTTTATGCCACAAGTCAAAAGTCCAAATAAGATTTTTTTTTCCCTCTTTGTGCAGGGTCTCGCTCTCTTGTGCAAGGCCGGACAGATGTCGATAGTTTATAGATTTTTCCGGTGGAGGCCAGTCAAAGTGTGACAGGAGTTTATAGTGAGTTTGATACCTGCCTGTGCAGCAGGCATAGCGTTCCTAACATCTGCTCTCTCAAAACTCAATCTCCCTTAGGCTCGCAACAGAAGGGAAAAATGAGAAGGTGGAAAGTAAACGAGTTAGAAGATGTGTGTGCGTTCACCAGAGTAGTGTGTACTCATAACTCCAGCTTCTAGTCTGCCATGTATCCTAATATGTGTGTCCTTGATGGTAAACGCGAGCACTCACCTCCACAGTCTCCAGTTTGCCACTCCAGGCACTGGCCGTAAGGGAAGGAGATGACGTACGCGTTGGAATCCACACAGCGCTTGGTGCTGCCACACCACATACACTCCATGGCCTGACTGGTGCAGTTGGCACAGGTGGTTCGCAGGGAGCAGGGCATCTTACATGGACGCATGGTAAGGTTTGGGCTCACTGAGGGAGGAAAATACAGTATTATGTATTGTAATATACTCTATAGCTATAACAGTACTATAGTTCTTCATTTTTATCTCTTAACTTCAAAAATGCTACTAACAATGTTTATTATTTTCATGATAATGACACATTGCCTCAAAAATCTGGTTTGTTACTCCTGTAGAGTAAGATAAACAATTGAAATTGGCACAATGAGCAGAACATAAATAAGAAATGAAAGATGAGCAAAATAAACCCAGAGATGAAGGGAGAACGAGTTGACATTCATTCTTTATGCTCTTTGCATGTGTCTGAAGGGGGGTACAAATGTTGTTCAAGGCCTAATTTGTGCTTTGAGTCTCTTTTCTAGAGTTTCAAACAGGTCCAATAAACATACTGCAGCCAAGGAGGGTGTGAGAGATTATACAACAGCTCTGCTCATTTATAAAACCAAAACAAAAAAAGTGTAATATGTTAATTTCTTTATGTGTGATAGCACTATATGGAAAAGAATGTTATCACATTAAATCACCTTGACATATGTGACACAAAAAACCAGGGCAAGCCCAGACTAAATCTGCATCAAAAATAAGGGAAAATCTGCAGAATTCCGTGGCATTAAACAAAGTTTATGTTAACCAAGCTGAGAATAATACAACAGAATTTGAAATATTAACTGAAAGCATTATCAAATTAAGATTAATAAAACAAATTATTTCCAGACTTCCCAATTCTTCAAGAACCCTGTGGAGTTTTCAGTGGGAGCCGATTAAGTTTGGGTCTGATGTGTAAGAACAGCATACACCACAAAGCAGACGTTGAATCCCCTCAAAAAGGGGGATTCAAAAAGGGTGTTGCAAAAAAACAGAGCAAAAACAACTCAAACTTTTCTCACCAACTGGCTTCTCACAGATCAACCCCTCAGTGTTGGCAGTGCAGGGTTTGGCTTTGAGTCCGGCTACCTCAGCTCTTTCCAGGTACGCACAAAAACCTGAGTCACTTGGCTCCCCTGGTAACCACTGCAGCGTGCTGGCAGTGAAGGGAGACATGTCCTCCCACCCCCAGTATGAAACATTTATCTTCCTTAGACCCACCCAGGGAGTGAGTTTCTGCAAGAGAGAAATATACATGTAAAATCCTCATAGGGATGGGTGAAAAAATGGCTATAGTCATTTAGGGAAAATTATTAGATTAAATCTTGAAAATGTTGTGCAACATACAAAACCTGTCCAACCAGGGTCAGACAAAACTAGCATGGTCTGACACATTTTTTGTCTGGACCTATAGATTTTTTTTTTTACAAAACTAAAAAATAATAATAAAAAATGTAATTTAATTGAAATTATTAAATAAAAAAAATGCAATTCATATAATGACCAGAATATACCTTTTCTATGATGAGGTTGTTTTTAATTTCAGATCTAAAATTCAATTTGATATTCATTTAGGAAAAAAAGCCATTTTTCATATAATTCCTTGGAAACAAAACCGTTTCACTACTCATTATCATTATTTGAAAAACATTTCTTCATTGAAATCAAAGTCAGGTGCTGGAAATAATGCAGAAATATATTATGAAAATTTATCATAATTCTTAAAAGACAAATAAATAAATGCATGTTTTGCACCCGTTTCTGTTTGCTAGGTACTGAAATTTGAGTGAGCCACATATCTAACTGCATTAAAGTCACTTTGAAAACAGGTGCAATCAGCTGTTATCGCCCTGTGTCCATAAATACTTCGAATATGAACATTAGTGTAAAGAACAGCGTGTCTGAAGTTAAACGATAAACAGACTGACACATTTGCAGATGCAGAAAATATAGTACATTTTAAAAAGTGTTCATCTTGATAAACCTCTATTTGAACTCTATTTGAACTTAATTTTGCAGACTTTCAGCTGGACATTCATTCAGAGCACCTTGACATTTTGATGGCTATAATGACCGTCTACTCTGTTTAACACATGCTAGTGTTATAAAACCCTTTTCTTTTTTTCTCGTTTCTCTCTTCTTTAAGGGAAGGCAAAGGCCAATGCACAGTGTAATTATCAATTCAAGGCAAAACAAACTGAATTTGACATACCCCAACCCCTCAGATTTTCCATTCAAATTAACAACTTCCCTATATTAAAAGGTTGTGTGTGCTTTGATTAAAATGTTTTAAAAGGTTTAAGATCTCCTGTGAGTTTGTGCAGCCACGGGGTGTGTGTGAGTGTCTGTATGAGTGACAGAATAGAGAAAAAAAATAGTGGCAACTGAAAAACCGTCGGATGTGAATCTTTTTCACATCAAAGGTGGGTCCTTTAGAAAACTGTGTTAATCTTCAAAGGACAAAAGCTGCTTAAACACTGAGGCTCAAGCCACAATCAGCAAGGGAGCGGATTATGAAGAGAGTTACTCCTTTCCTTTTAATTAACACATGACAAATATTTACACCACAGCACTGGAGGGACTCCGCAGATTTTGTGCAGAATAGCTTTTAACTGAAGGCATGAGTAAGGCTTTTTGACATGTAAAGTTGAGTGTTTAAGCTTTACTGACATTTAGAAACAAACTTACACACCAAAACATCTAGTATTACGTCTGGACTAGTAAATTGTACATTCTTAAACGTTTAAAGAATCACTTTAAAATGGGATTCAGAGCAGTGCAGGGCAAATATACTTGCAATCAAGAACTGATTTAGGTAAACAAATCAGGAGCACGGACAGAAGTGCTTGTCAGTCAAAAAAAAAGCCATTGATATGGTGAGACGCATAATCAGCAGAGTTGGGGAAAGTTTCTTTCTTTGGAAAGTAATGCCTTACATTACTTTTGTGTTACTTTTTGCTCACATGGACTGGGCTTCCTAGTTTGTTTTTGAAGAACATAACAAGTTATATTTTGGAAAATGTAAAGGCTCTTTCCCAAAAGTGAAATGAACAAGCCTCTGGCTGAAAGAAATGCAAATTTACTCGTGTACAGTAAAGGATGCATCTCAAAATAAAAACCGGTTACACTTTACAATAAGGTTCAATAGGTAATGTATTAACAAATATGAACTAACCATGAGCAATAAGTTTGTTACAGTATTTAATAATAATAAACCAGCTGTTCATTGTTTGTTCATGTTAGTTCACAGTGCAGTAACTAATGTTAATTAATACAACCCTTGATTTTAGTAACGTATTAGTAAATTTTGAAATTCATATTAACTAAGATAAATAAATGCTGTAGAAGTATTGTTCATTCTTAGTTCATGTTAACTAAGGTAGTTACCTAATGCAAACCAATGAACCTTATTATAACGTGTTACGAAAACCTTATAGCTGTTCTGTCAGTCTGGAATAGGACACAGGGGAAGAAAGTTCAACACTCTTACTTTAGTAATAAAAAATAAATAAATAAATGAACAAATGTGATTTTTATCTAAGTCAAATTAGCTTATTAGTACGGTTGAATTGGATTATCAAAGGTCAGCAGCAAAGACGATGATTAATAAAGAGAGATTAATTGCATAAAGTACAATTATTGCAGGTTTGCACAATATTCTGAGTTTGCGTGTTTTCATTCATTTTGAAGAATTCTGAATCTGTTTTTGTGCAAGTGAGATGAGTAAATGCATGCTCACATTTAGTCTAGAACTACAATAAGCATCACAGGGCACACACTTACGATTTCTCTCAATATGGAGTCAAGAGAGGTGTCAGATTAAAATGAAACTTGAGTTACTTATTTGAAAAAGTAACTGATATTTTGTGGTCAATTCAAAAAGTAGTGCATCACATTACCAGTTACTCTGATTACGTAACTTGCGTTACTTGTAATGTGTTACCACAACATTGCTAATCAATATGCATCAGAAAAACATGTTAACGGCTTTGACTGTGTTCAACACAGTACCCAATCATTACCAAGACAAATCAATGTAATCCTCCACACAAAAGCTAGAGATTACACTTTACTCACCCTCCCATGTAGCTGATACTTCTGCAGCTCATCCAGTATGAAGTCTACCTGCCTGGCTGAGGTTAGAGATGCAATGTTGCCATCCAGGTTCTTACAGTAGTGCTGGGCATTATCATAACTCTCCTTACTGGCATTCAGCCTCAGACATGCATCTCCAATCTGACTCCAGTCCTCTCCACACAGGTGGGCTTTAAAAAATAGCAAAATCCAGGATAAAACCAGGTCTATATTTAAACTAGGCTTCAGTCACACAAGACATCTGAACACCGCAAACAAATCATTCTGATCGTTTATCAGGACATTGATAAAAAGGAGATTTCTGTGTATTATAAAGTGAAAAACAAGCTATATCTGAAGAAATTTCACAGTAAAGACATTAATAAATTATAATGTTGCTAAAAAAAAATCAGTTTTTAAATAAATGCTGCTTTTTTGAACTTTCTATTCTTAAAAGAATCCTGAAAATGAATGATCAGTTTCCACAAAAACATTAAGCATCACAACTATTTCAACATTTGTGAGAATACCAAGAAATGTTTCTTGAGCAGCAAATCACCATATTAGAATATTTTTTAAGGATCGTGTGACACTGAAGACTGCTGAAAATTCAGCTTTGCCATCACATGAATAAATAACCATAAAGAATATATTAAAATAAAAAGAAAAAATTAAATAGTAATAATATTTTGTAACATTATAGTTTTCAATGTGTTTTTGATCAAATAAATGTACCGTTGGTGAGTATAAGAAGCTTGTTTAAAAAAAAAAAAAACTTGTTTTTTTATCTTATCGACTTTTGAACAGTAGTGTCACAGAGCTACCCTCAGTTCTTTGTGACCCCTTGTTAGCCTTCTACAAAACACATGAACCCATACTTGGTTTTTAAAAGACTCTTTATTTACTTTAGTGTACCAGCGACATGAGAGATGGGTTAACCACACAAATATATACTGTTGTGTCTCAGACTGGCCACCTGATCACTAACCCTCAGGACATTTAAAGTTTGCTACAGACTGTTGATTGTTACCTGGAGAAGCATACATGGTGGCGGCCATCTTGATTTGGGCAAAAGACTGGAATGGACTTTTCTCATGTTTTTTATACCTGTGCTGTGTTGCATCTTGGGAAGTGGGAGATACCAAGTATGGTGGGAAAGGAAGGGGAACTGGTTGATGTTAATATGTACTTCCTTTAATTTTTGCTGAAGTTTACTTATTGAAGTTTGTACTGTTATTGAAATTTGTGTGGTGAAGAAAATGGAGTTACTTGATCACATAATATTTTTACTTGATATTTATTACCTGTTCATGATCTTTATTACTTCCCCATGTGATGATTGCTGAGAAATGGTTGTACCCAGGTGTCTCATAGAATGAAGTGATCAGGAGTGTAAAAGACTGATGGTAGTGAATGCTGTATCAACTGAGTACTGTGATTGAAGTATTAGACCTGATGCAAGGCTAGCGTCTTTGGTATATTGACTTTGTTGGGGGTTTTTTTTTTCTTTCTTTTGTAATTTTTTCATGCTGTGGCACCTGTGAGCACATTGCACTTTACTGGCTTGGGAGAACATAAATAAATATAAAAAAAATGGCATTTAACGTCCTCCATGTGTTATTTTGAAGAACTCGGGATGTCCTTGTGACAAGTAGTGTAAGTAAAACTAAATTATGAAATTAAGAAACATGCTACCCTTGGATTTTGAACTCATTACAGTGAGCAGCACATGAATAATTTACCATGACGATGGTTAACCACAAACACCCAGACTCAAGACAAAACCTCAAATTTTCTGAAAAGCAAAACAAAAGGAAATGCACAGTCATAGTCAATTATAAAACCACACAGTACTAAAACTAGCATAAAATAACCACTGTCCCTTTCATTTCAAGGGTATATTTTGTAAAATGCAGCCGATTATAATCCAAGATAAAGGCTGTCATCTAACGAAGAGAGAAAAAACAGAGCGCAGAAAAGGGAAAAAGGACAATAAACTCTGGGTTATTGGACAGGCTGCTCAGCCATACATAGATAAATAGCTCAGCAAACTTGAATAATTACTGCACTTCCAATTGGCCTTCACTGCACTGGTCGAGGTCAGAACTCAGTGTGATGTACCATCCAGCTCCAAAGGTCTCCATTTTTCAATGGTTGGATATACTCATGTCTTCGCTACTGAGTTGATGTCCTTTTCAGACAAAGTTGTCCGTGTGTGTATGTATGCTTTCAAATTGAGCTATCAGTCAGAAATATGACAGCTGAGCAGTGAAGTTCTTTCAAGTTCATGTCCTTGAGAACATCCTGATGTCGGACACAGAGAGACTGTGGATGAATGTACCACCTCGGTCACTGTGACCCTTTATCTCTGCTCCAATAACCACACACACTGGGGTAGAGGTTGGGTTAGGGGATAGAACATATCATTATCCTAATTTTTAAAAAAAAATCATTCAAAGTCTATGCAATTTTCTCAATAATACAGTGAAACAAACGTATGTGTGTGTGTGTTAGGGATGGTAAGATTCGCATTGGTGCATCGGCATAAAAGCTAACCATGCATCGATTTAAATAATTGTGCATTTGTATCTTGATGCAGCGTTTTTAACATCTGCATCGGTAAAAAAAACGATTTATTCATATATAATTATTAGTAGATGCGTGTGGGTGGGTGTGCGTCTTTACTGCAGACTGGAAAATGTTGAGCATAGGTACAATGTTTGGGCCAGTAGAGAAGATTTTCTTCCCAAGGGAGACAAAAGAATGTTAAGAATACATCAAACAACAGCATCACTTCCTGCTCTCAAACTAGATCAGATCAAATAGGTAGTGATGCCCTCAGAGTGTGGAAATGCATTTCTATTGTTTCTGCATCTGAGACACACAATCACGTATTATTTGCTCAAAACAATTTTTGACATTTTCCTAACTTTACCCTTTCCAAAATCTTGGCCTCCAAAGATCATTAGCAAACTTAATGTAAAAAAAACCTGTGTGCACAAAATCATCAAAGGTAGACAGTGCTTGTGACTGCCTGGTGTTAAAAAAGTTAAAAAAGAATGGATCACTTTCCTGTGTTGTTTTCAGAGACTAGGGCCGTCAGAGACAAGTGTGGAGATTTTTTGACACTTGCACTACTTTCGAGGGATCCATAAAACAATAATATTGTGATATATTATTACAATACAAAATGTCTGTTTTCTATTGTAATATATTTAAATATGTTATTTATTTGTGTGATGGCAGGGCTGAAATTTCAGCAGTTATTACTCACTTCAGTGTCACTGATTTGGTCCTCAAGAAACATTTCATATATTATAACAGATGAAAATGACTATGCAGCTTAACATTTTTATGTAAACCATGTTTTTCAGGAATCTTTGATAAACAGAAAGTTCAAAAGAACAGCATTTATTTATTTTTTTTAAATATTTTGTATAAATACAAATCGTGAGCTTAGAATTATAAGGTTCTATCTCCAATTTTGGTCGAAATTAAGTTTTTGACATAATCTGATCCATTAGGTGTTTATTAATGCCTGTGTGGTGTTATTTTTGTAAAAAAAAAAAAAAAAAAAAAAAAAAAAGATTAATAGATAAAGCTATAATAGAAGATTATACTACATAACAGTTTTGCCAGCTGGGATGTAAAAACTTTGATGCTCAGTATCTCAGAACTACCCTAAATGGAGATAGAACCTTATAATTCTAAGCTCACGAAATGTCTTTTTACTGTCACTTTTGATCAATTTAATATATCCTCGTTTCATGTCTTACAAAAAGGTATGTTATAAATTGTAACCTTGTACAGTTCAAAGAGTTTTTGAGCTGTATTAGGCACACTAGGTTAGAGTGAGTACACTACCTAGGCAAATACAAAAACTACAGAGGGCAGTTTAGTTAGGGTTAACTAGCTGAAGATCTCATGCTGCCATTGTAAATATTGTATACATTTGTTTAAATCTTTAGACTTCAAATTCCTTATTCTTTTCTAAAATGTATACAATCTCTGCATCATATTTGTCTTTTTATCTCATATTTATATCTTTCTGCCAACCAAACACACTCAAATATTATCATGTAAGATGTTGCACCCACACCCTAGACCAGAGGTCTTCAACCCAGCTCCTGGGGACTCACTGTCCAGCAGAGTTTTGCTCCAACCCTAATCAAACAGAACTGACCAACTGTTGAAGCAGTTTGGAAATAAATTTTGCAGGACAGTGGGTCTCCAGGGGCAGGGTATCTTCTGAAGTTGTAACAGTAAAACAGAAGAAATGTCTACTTTGATCACTGTTTCGTTGTTTATATGGACATGCATATGCTCTGTCATTCTGTCTGTCCATCCACCCATCCATCCATCCTTCAACTCACCAGGCAGAGTATGACATTCCTGCTGTTGTGGTTCCCACTGACAGTTGATGTTAAGCGAGCAACTCCTGCAATTCCCCAGTTTGGTACAAACCTGCTCACCTCGAACACTGCATTTGGTATAGTTCTTCACAGACTAAAAATAGAATGGAAAAAAGATATTTCAGGTTATATTTTTTCAATGTCACTAGCATATTTTGTACAACATTGTGCTGTGTTTTTTAACATTTATATGAGGAACAAACAAGTGAAATCAAGAAGTTACAGGTGCTAATTCTCTAAGCCAATCAATCTCATCATAAGATATATTACTGCATACCTGGCCAGTTTTGCGCAGACCGGGTCTCCAAATAGAGAGCTGGTGATCAGACAGCATGGCAGGGGGAGGGTTGAGGTACAGGGGACCTCGAGGGTGGCGGGCAAGCTCAATTGTAAGCTGAATGCAGACAAAACATGACACGGCAAAGAGAAATGTTATTTTGAATTGCTATAAATGCTTTTAAATCTATTTAATAGTTATGCCTCTGTTTGACATACCACAGTGCAGTTGCTTGAAGAAGAGATGCATTTCTTGTCTTCACACCATTGGCAGTCATTGGTGTTGGCCGTACAGGAAGCACAGTCAGAAAACTGCTGACACTGCTTATCAGCTCCATCTGTGGTTTAAAAGAACCAGAATCATCAGAGACAAGGAAAATATATACTTATTAGCATAAAACAAAAATTGGAGGTAACAAGGGTCAGACTCAAAGCTCTCAAGGTGAAACACATCATAACTGTGGTGAAAAATGAGTGTGTGCAATGACACATGGGTAAGGGCTAAAGTTGAACAGCGGAGGTGGATATGGACAGGGCACAGCGAAATTAAAACCAGAAAATTGAGGGGAAGAGCCAAGGACAGAGAAAAAAACATTTGTCCTGACTGTGAATTTGTTTATTTCAGACATGAATAACCATAATACAAATAAGTACTGTTGTTCCAGTTATTTTCTTTTTGGGAGGATGTTTTGTTTGTTGGTTTGTTTTATCCTTTTTATCATTATTTCTGGGAAAGAGACGTCACACAGGGACTGGCTTTTGTCTGGAATCATTCAAAAGGATAAACAATGAGAAAATCCAGGACAAAAATGAACTAGAAGGATGGGAGAAAGGAAATATATTAGTGAAAACAAAATTACACCCTATTATTTACCCCTTCACACCTTTTCTGTTACTGTCTCTGGGACAGTTAACAAACAATAAATGCCAATTCACAAGTTATTCACTTAAATTGATATTGTTTTAAAGCCTTATTACCTTTTTTTCCGAGAGAATTAAAAAGAAAAAAAAGTTTTGCACATATCCATTTTATATATTTCCAGCCTCAGCCTTTGCAGTCCTGTGTACATTCATGAAAGTGCACAGTCCAGGATTTATATATATATATATATATATATATATATATATATATATATATATATATATATAAATCCTGGACTGCACACTTGCATGAATGTACACAAGACTGCAGTATATACAGTATATACAGTATATACAATATATATATATATATATATATATATATATAAAACCTTAGAAGAGCATGTGTGTATTTAAATATTTTGTTGCGCTCAGGATGTCAGTCAGAATGATGTCGTACATGTCCAGATGTTATTGTGTACAGAGAGCAACCACCCAAAAAGTGCCTATGTACAATGATAAACTGCATGATTTCAGGTCTCTGAGATGCACACAATACAGTAGAACCCATCATGAACTTGTGTGTCATTCCATTACTTAATTAAAGTCCAATCCACCTCTGATAGAACACCAAACTCAATGCGGTTATTGCAGTAATCCTCTCAGGTCCAGTTTTGCCCACAGAAAAAAAAACATCTGTATCCACAATCGCTGGAGATTAGTTTCATCGCAATCATAATTACATCGCTATGAGATTATTATGCGCCGACTGACCTTTTGTTCAGTCAATTATCAACAGGCATTTCCACAGTCAGGCAGGATTTACCCAGTGGAAAACAGGCAGCGCGCCATCAAGGTAAAGCAGAACATTTGAGTGGCTCTGCATACAAACCCCCCAATGTATCAAGTATAAATAGGATTATATGTGGTTTAACAATGATCTCCCGACAGAGGATTTATTGGAAGGAAAAATACTCCAGCTGTGTGGTTAACATACAGAACTAATGGTCCAACTCAATTGAATGAGACAGTGAACTTCACCCCACTGGGATGGTTATGTAGGATAGCAGACCAGGTGTATAGATATTCCTACAAGATGAAAGGATGAATAAACATTTATAACACTTGCATTTTAAATACCACAACTATTCAAAAGTTCTGTCTGTAAAGTTCTGGGGTCTGTAAAATGTTTTTGAAAGAAGTTTCTTACGCTCATCAAGGCTGCTTTTATTTGATAAAAAAAATATATATATATATATATATATATATATATATATATATATATATTCATTTGTGATATTTTGAAATAGCCCTAATGTCCTGTAACATGGTGTGGTAGCCACCATAGTGTGGTTCTGTGACATGCAAGACCCACTTTTACTGACTCCTGTGAATAAGAAATTAATTTAATGTGAATGTATGGTGGAAATACTCCAAAATAGCTCCATAAATGACCATTAAAGTAATTCTGCATAGCCAGTGTTTAACATAAGCTTTTAAAATGATAGGTTCTTACTGGTGCGCGCAGGGCAGAAGGAGGCAGGCACACTGTCATTAGCATGGCTGGAGTCCCAGGGTACACAGCGTTCTTTGATCCAGACGCAGCGAACACCAGGACCAGCGCTCTGACAAAGATCCACCTCCGGGAAGGCCTCACAGCTGGCAGGCTTATACACCAGCACATCGTTCAGAATCACACCAGAGAAACCACCAAAAATGTACATTGAGCTGAGTGGAAGAGAAAACAGACCTTTTCTGTATTTCGACTCATTTGTATTGCCAAAACAATTTTCCAAAGGAAATGAGAGGATAAGGCCACACATTCAATTTTTCCCCTGACCCATGATGATTTGTTTAACTAAATTAAATTTAGTGGAAACAAAAAACAACAACCTAGGCACAGGAAGAGCGCATACTGATGGTATCAGTGAATGGAAAGAGTTCACATCAAAAACTTACCCATTACTGACAACAGCTGTGTGTCCAAAGCGATTGACATCACGATGAAGACTGGGATTTGGAAGAACTGTCCACTCATCACATGCTGAAAAGCACACATGCAAATAAATAAATTCATATATATATATATAAACGTAGTATATTATTAGGTATTTGATATTTTATTCTCGAGATGCACAATATATATCTGTACCATACCGGTTAATGGAATATATTAGAGATAAAGCATTACTTACTTTATCAATATTTGGATGTTCAATTAATAATGCTCATTTCTTCCATTTTTACATGCACACTACCATACAAATATATATATATATATATATATATATATATATATATAACTAAAATATAGTAATATATTATTACAATTTAAAATTTACATTTTCTATTTTAAAATATTTCAAAATATAATTCATTCCTGTGATAGCAAAGTAGTCATTGCTCCAATCTTCAGTGTCACATGATCCTATAGAAATCATTCTAATATACTAATTTGGTGCTCAAGAAACATTTATTATTGTGTTATCACATTTTAGGTTGTGGCACATAATATTTTTGTGGAAACTGTGATGATTTTTCAGGATTCTTTGATAAATATAAAAGTTCAAAAGAGCAGCATTTATTTAAAAACAGAAATCATCTGCAACATTATAAATGTCTTTACTGTCGCTTTAAATCAATTTAACATATCCATATGAATGTATTAATTAATTTAATTCAAAAACTTTTGAAAAGTATAGTGTATTTTACCTTTGCCAGCATCTAACATTACATCCACTTTAATCTCAAGAAGAACTGATCATTTATTTAACATTGATAAAATGATTCACTTTTACTATTTAAAACAATTGTTTTAGTTTTTTAGTTAATTATTTTTCATTGATTTAGGAAATGTGGTAATATCGGCCAGAATTTAACAGTGCAGAGAAATTTTACTCATCGTAAGTGAAAAGCAACAGTGAACAAAGCACTATGTACACCAAGCCTTTTACTGACAGAGACATGTGTTTTGAGCTGTACGTGTTTGTCCAGGTTACACGAGCTCTGTGGCATATGTTTCTCCCAGGCTGCCAGATCGGACACACTCTCGGCTCGTTACACACTCTTTTATTCAGTAATTAGCCGCACTCATGGTCAGTTAATCAGCTAGGGAGAGGAAACCAAATACTATCTTTCCATTCTACAGGCTTTCCTGCTAGTAAATGCAGCAATGTGCATACATACACATGCAGGTGTGTCAAGAAAACACAGTACATTCACACCGTTAACAACCTTGTGAACAGATGTTTTGTAGCATGAGATTCTTATATTACAGTAGGCCTACAACAATATACAGAGCATAACGATTGAGACATGTAACATCTCACCGCCTCCCTACAACATCAGAGATTAACACCACACATTATAGCACTTATCACGAAGATACCACCAACACAACATAGTGCAGTTCTGTCTAGTGAAAGTGAACAAAGAAGCCTCTAAGCCTGCAAAAGAGACAAAAAACAGTTATAGAAATTTCAGACCTTGTATCACTGATATCAAAATAACTTCAGAAATCACTCCCATTTCACACCCTCACTATTTAAAAAAATATATATATATATATATATATATATATATATATATATATATATAAATATATAAAAGTTATGATTTTTTTACAATGTTTTTAAAAGAAGTCTCATCTTCACCAAGGCTTTATTTGTTTAATCAAAAATACAGTTAAAGGAATCTATTTAATACACTGATTTGGTACTCAAATAATATCAATGCTGAAATGCTGTGCTGCGCTGCCTAATATTTTTGTGGAAACAGTTATACATTTTTTTTTTTCAAGATTCATTTGAAGAATCAAAAGAACAGCATTTATTTAAAAAAAAAATAACATTATAAATGTGTTTACATTCTCTTATGATCAATTTAATGAATCCTTGATAATCCTTGAGTATTTTGAAGTTGGCCATTCATTGGTGTGTTCTTTTGTAGGTCTTTTTTTATGGTATTTGTAGTTCTTTAGTTTCTAATGCTAATTATTTTCAGGTGTCTCAGGTTATCCTATTGTTTTGTCCGTTATTTAACCATGTGTTCAGTCCATGTGTTGGGGTATTATTGTCCGTGTGCATGTGCCTTTATAATTCATGGTGTTACGGGTCAATGTCAAGAGCTACGCTTCATACTGTATCATGTGTTTCACGGTCAAGGCATGGATATGTATCACGTTTTGGACCATTAAATAACTTTACGACCATGAAAGCTTCAAAGAGATGAGCTTAAATAGAGGAAAAACTAGTCAAAGTTAGATAGTTTAAAAAAGACTGACTGGTTCAGTGATGGCACGGCTCGGGACCCACCAAGATAACAGCAGAGATTGTTTGATCCAAAGACAAAGGATTTAAAACAGACCACCTCCTTCTTAAGGACCCCTGAACGACCCCAGGGCTGAAACCTATTAAAACTACAGAGACTGAGACTTTACATGTAAAAAAGCAGAGGTTATAGTTACGGCTCGTTCGAATGAACGCTGGACGAGTCATTTGCTGGGCCGTAAAGTGATTCTGTTAAGATTCCCTATACATTAATTGATAATTCCATTTGAGCTAAATTGGCCTGTCTGGCCCACTAAATACATACAAATATATATTATTATTATTATAATACGCAAGTTGTCTTACATTATGCACAGCTCTCTCAAAGCCAACAGAACTTCAATCTGGTTGAGGTCTGGACTTTGACTGAGCCACTGCAGTTTTCTTTTCTTTTTCAGCCATTTAGATATAGCTTTGCTGGTGTTCTTGGGATCATTGACCTGCTGCACAACCCAATCTCATCCATGCTTCAGCTGTCAGACAGATGCCTCACATTTGACTCTTGAATACTTTGGTATAGAGAGGAGTTCTTGGTCGACTCAACGACTGCAAAGTGCTATGGTACTATGACTGTAAAACAACCCAACATCACCCCTCCACCACAGTTCTTGACAGTTGGTGTAAGGTGTTTGTGCTAATATGCTGGGTTTGGCTTCTCCATTTTGGCTTAAAAACACAGTGTAATATGTCATGTGTTGTTGTTTATCTAAGGTTATATTAACCGAATTTTAAGACTTGCCAAGGACCTGAAACATAACACCATACAATTCAATATAGTGTCCTTTCTTTTTCTCACATTCATTTCAAAAGCCACCACATACTTCGACACAGACTGCCACGGACAGCATTAATATGTAAATTTGGCATTTACCCCTCAGCGTACTCTTGAGTGCAGTACTGATCGAGCTGCGGTTTAACTAAGGTCAGCATCCACACAAAATTTCATCTCAGAAAACAGACAAAAATGGCCACACAAAAGTATTTTCCTAATCTTTGACTCCTGTGACCCTTACAAGTTAATTAATGGACGCATTAGGAAACGTGATAAACAAAACATTGTCCTGGAACGTCAGGAAGAGTTCGTTCATTATAACTGGATTTTATATGGCATTTATAAAGGCTGTGAATCACTATTGGAAAAAAAAATAGAAAAGAAGTACCACTCTATTCCCATCAAGCTACAACTGATGTTGCTTAGATGAGGGGAGAAATGTCTTTAAAAACCTTCATTATCCTGTTTATCAGGTTTAAAGCTTTTTGTGAGTGGCCTCTGAATCACACAGAATTGCAAAAAGTCTGTAACAGAAAAAAATACTGTTAATGCTATATAAATCATTTTGAGATACATTTACCTGTATGCATTTGCAGATGCTTTTATCCAAAGGCCAACATTTTAGGCCACCACACAGATTTCTGGCTAGAGTAATTCAATGCCTGATTTCAATCAACCTGGTCCAGACCTCTACAGATCTAAAGGTGACACTCTTTCTCTCATATGGCAAAACTGCTCCTGATAGTTATCGTTGGCTCTGCCTAGATTTCATTTCCTCACAGGATATTGGCTCAACTCCCATAGCTAATGTACAGGAGACAAAGAAACAGAGTGAAGAAACCATGGATGAATAGAGCAGATAGAGCAGAGGTAGAGAACAGTAGATGCAGTAGAGAGGAAACCAAACCCATTTTAATTGCAAGCTTAATAAAATATGTTTTTGTGCTGAGGCAATCTGCTACCTAGTCTGTTGGTTGTATTAAAACAAAAGGTCTGTGCAGAAGAGAAAAAACACTGATTCACAACGCCTCTCAGCCAGAGTGCTACAATTTTAATTAGGGTTTATTTTCCCTGAATCTAATTAGAGGTACAAGAGTTGGGAAAGACATGGCAAGAGGATACGCAAATGAAAACCGTTTTCTGTGTCATCTTGAATTCAGTCCCTCATTGCAAGAAATATTGCATAAAAAGAACTAATACTCCCTCTTCTCTTCCCTTTAAAAGTTGACTCAGAGAAAGAAAGAAAGAAAGAAAGAAAGAAAGAAAGAAAGAAAGAAAGAAAGAAAGAAAGAAAGAAAGAAAGAAAGAAAGAAAGAAAGAAAGAAAGAAAGAAAGAAAGAAAGAAAGAAAGAAAGAAAGAAAGAAAGAAAGAAAGAAAAATAATAATACGTACTGTCGTTTAATACATTTGGTCAAAATTTTGTGTTATAAAAGATGAAGTGCGATGCACAGGCTGTGGCTTTGATTAGAAGGCAAATACCAGATTAACATTGTTCTCGGCACATAAAACATTTGCCTTTACAAACATCATGTTTTTTTTTTTAATAATTAATTAAAAATTTACCCTTGCACTACAAACAAGCGGAGACATTCTCCAAAATGTGTGCACAATGTATGCTTTTGCCGACAGTTTGATGACCAAATAGAGTTACGAGGTTTAGTCACAAGCTCTAGTATAAAGCTATTTAGTACAAAGTTCTATACAAGCTTCAGTATAAAGTATAGACAAAAAAAGTTTAAAAATACCATTATTAGTAACCGATATTTTTTCTAATTAAACTGTTTTGTTACAAAAGGGAAAGAAACGAACAGAAATGTTAAAATACTGGTTCTGTTCGGAGAGAACCAATTGATTTTTTCTTCGATTTTTGATAAAAACAATGAAATGCCAATCCAGAATATTACGCAAACCTGCAATAATTAAATGTTAAATAACAGAAATATAATTTATATATTTAATCTCACTATATTGCCCACTGTCTTTGCTGCTGACTTTCAATGATCAAATTCAACCATTTGGGTTTTCTTTTTTTTCTTTTTTTTTGCTGCACCCCCACTGTACAGGTGTGAATTTTTTATTTTATTCAGCCTATGGCTTATTCATTTCACTTTTGGTAGAAAAGGGCCAACACATTCCATTTCTGTATTTCACTAGACCACAGTGATAAATTTATGGTGTAGCCAGCCAAATCTTAAAATTGAAGATTACAAAACTTTCTTTACAGCCTTAGGGACAGAATACTAAATTTGTTTTCCTGGGTTGACATTATATCCATTCTTTTATTACAAAAGTTTTTGTTTTGACAGCACACTTTAAAAGTAATAAAACTTAAAGTTTTATTTATTTATATATAGTTTATGAAACAAAAAAAATAATATGAAACAAATAAATGGCATAGTGTTGCCCCAATAATATGCTGTCATACTGTTATGAGAAATTTGAGCTTTTTTCTAGTATTATATGAACATATAAATTGTAAGACTTAATGTTTAATATACAGTACATCTTAATTAAATTGAGCTTTTACAAATTAAATACCTGTACAACGTTGTAGTAAGCTTTATCAACTCAAAATTGATTCACTGCAGCAATCGGTTACATGCCAGTAAAAGTCAGTCAACTTAATATATTTTACAGTGTTGCACCAGGCTTTAAAGTGCTAGATGCAGTGAAAAGCTGGTTTGCAAAGCAGTGCAATTCTAAATGAGCATAATCACTCCACTCAGTGCAAACATAATTAGACCAATAAACAGTAATACAAGTACAAACAGCATTTTCTGCTGTCTAAAGTCAGGGAAAGAGTCTGTTCATAACTTAATTTTGTTTCATACACGCTGCAGCGGGTCGGAAAGGTTGCCCTCTGTATCCACAGCAGGAAGAACAGAAGACCAACAGTTACAAGCAATTGCACATAAACATTTCCAGGAAGCCTGCTGGTGATTAGAAAATGGCCTAATTTGCTACTTTAATGAATTAAGCGAGTGCAGTGGATTTTAGGACAGTGCTTTAGTGGTAGTGATGTATATTTGGACAGACTGCAGCCAGTACGTGTAAAGCCAGTCAAGGCTGTCCAAGCAAACTTGTGCAATCAGACAAAGTGGCTAGGGCACACAGAGCCAACCCAGACCTAAGCCAAAAATGACCACTCCCTGACACCAGAACAGAACCAGCACAATCCAGAGTCCACGAGCCCTTGCCTTTACTTGAGCTGCAAAACACTGTACAAACATAGTGCAGTAGAGAAGCGCCAGGTGGAAGTGAAAGTTGCCACGCTACTGTAGTAAACACTGTGGGAGGAATTTGCTAAGAATGAGCACAATCTCTCATCCTTTCTTTCACTCTCCCTTGGCTCCACAACCTCCTTGTCTAAGGTACTGTAAAAGATTCATAAAATAACAGACACCATCTGGCCCACTGGCATTCGACTGCTTTTTATGAGGATTTAATGATGGCTAAATATTACTGTCAGCACTGAAAGGAACACTTTAAATCATTCACTGATATTACTCATAAAAGTCTCCCATTTAAAAAAGCCCACATTAGCCAAAGCTGCCGAAGGCCGTAGTAAACCTATAGTGTGTGCACCACGCACTGGGATCATAAGCCATAGAGAAAACAACAGTCGTAAAATTCATTGTTGGCTTGCAAGGAATGGCTGAAATAAGTTCAATTGGTGTTTAATATTTCAAGGTAAGAGCAATGTAAAACACAAGGCACACTCTTTGTTCTCCATATCAGCCCATAATAAATGATTATTTAAAGTGTTGTCAAAGTTTACAGTGCCTGACTCTGCAGAAGAAAGTTTCATGAACTTGCTAAGCCAACAAGCAAAAAAATATCCCGTACATTTTTTTTAAAGCTCGCTGAATGAAGAAATGAATGTGTACCATTCCTCCACATACCCTCAGACAGATGCCTATGGCCAGACATTATACCACAGAGGTCAAAGGTTTCAGAAGCAATCCATCACAGAGGTCTTGCCTTGAGAAAGGTCATACTGAGGATATCTGTAAACCTACGTTAGCAGCCCCTCAGCTGCGTGTATGCTTACAGATTTACAAATGATTTGCATGACTGGAGCAACACACACTGGCATGCTCTGTTCCAAAACCTAACGAGACACCTTGCTGTCATGTTTGCAGCCTACATTGGCAGCTCCCTTCTAAAGCTCAAAGTATACTTCGGTTTTTGTTTGTCAGCATAGAACTTGTACACCCCGATTTTTCAAACCATGCACACTCTACCCGCTCAGCTCGCACATGTTCCTTGAATTTTTGGTGCTAATTAGTTGCTCATCAATGTGGTAAGACTGAAGAGACAGAAAAAAAAACAACATCACTGGAGATGGCACCAACAATATACATCTGTGTTGACAAGTGCTTGTGTGAGGGGGTTAAGAGTCTAATTTAACTCATTCCCCGCCACTGACGGGATTTTCCATCATTTATGACGCTACACTTTCCCGCCATTGAGCTGTTCTGGCTGTCCATGTTTTCACTTTTATACTGTAGGGGGTGCTGTTATGCATCTTCTGTAAGAGTAAAGCATTTTCGGATCCAAAAGGAGTGGATAGGGGATTGCTTACGCACAATTAAGCTAACAGGATTTATTCAACAGCATTTAAGTCAAAACTGCTTAAGTCAAAAGAGGCACACGACTTTGCAAGCTATGGGATGTTTTGTCAAACTACTCCATCTATGTTTTGATTATTGTTCTGAAAAAAGTCTTTGACAAAAAATGCTATTTTCTCAACATTTTGTTTAAAATATTTTTTTGTTTTGTTCTTATGAAACATCTACACTCAAGTGCTGATAAAAATATAATGACTTCTAAAGGATTGGAAAAATGTCCAGTGAGTGGTGCTAAGCATGTTCAGTTTTATCTGAGACAGGAATGTGAGTTTGAAAATGATCAAAAATTCTGGTGAGTGGAGCTAAAAGGTCAATGCTCTATCATGTCTGAAATGAAAGGGTTAGTTCACCTAAAAATGAAAATTCTGTCAGTATTTACTCACCCTCATGTTGTTCCAAACCTCTATGTGTTTATTTGTTCTGCTATACACAAAGGAAGATATTTGGAAGAATGTTTTAATCAAACAGATCTCATTCCCCATTGACTACCATAGTAGGGGAAAAAAATACATACTATGGTAGTCAATGGGGAATGAGATCTGTTTGATTAAAACATTCTTCCAAAAATCTTCCTTTGTGTTCAGCAGAACAAACAAACACATAGAGGTTTGGAACAACATGAGGGTGAGTAAATACTGACAGAATTTTCATTTTTTGGAGAACTAACCCTTTAATGTACCACCTAACCGGACCCTAAACCTAACCAATATTGTAAAAAAGTAAACATGAGATAAAACCATGCAATTTAAGTTTGCTTCTACAAGTCTTTTAGCTCTTTAGCGATTCAAGTTTCACGGGACTCATACCCGAGTGTTCCATATTGCAAGTGCAATATTGTGCTTTCAAACAAGTTTACTACATCAGAATAGCCATTAATATGGAGCTGCAAATGTGATGAGATGCAAACCTCATACAAAAGTTTGTTGAGGTCATAATATAGTATTGTTCAAGGATCTGTCTGAAAATAAGCATTCATTGACAATCTGTCCCTGTAATTATCATTTGTGTAAAAAATGACTAAATGTTGTTGGGGTTTTACTGCCATTAATGTTTAATTTCAGCTGAAAACTTGCAAAAATATAAGTAGAGGCAAGTTTTTCCAACCTTAGGTTGGCATTTAGGTTTTTTTGTTTTGTTTTGTTTTTTGCATTTTGGGACATAATTGACATTTTGTTAACTTTATATACAACTTATTTTTGTTTTTCCTGATCAACGGTGCATTCTGGGGTCGACTTTAGAATTTGACTAACAAACGAACCTTAGATGGCAGCTAAGTTATACCATTTGAACAGGTTTCGAATCTTGAGCATATGATGCCTTGAAATGCTGCCTACATAGAGTTCCCTTGGTTTTGGAACAGAGCCACAGACACTTACTTTTCAAAAAGGGAAAAGTGAGAGCACTGACGAGATGGTATGTAGACTATTTAAAGGTTCTGCACTGGGAGGTCTTCCATAAGGGTACCACCAAAGATTTGATTACAGACACCACACATGCAGTCATTGCATCCTGTATGCATCTTGCTTGCATATGTCGGCAATGTTCTGGGAAATTCCATTATGACTCAACTGTGCATTCCAGTAGATCTCCACTGGCTTATCAGCTTTCTGTAATGAACTGTCAGTAATATCACACAGCAGCAGCTTGAATGAAACAATTTACAGTAACTGTACCGCTAAGTATGCGTGCATTCTGTATCTCACAATATGTCACAGGATCCATGCATACTCAAGAGTCATAAATCACAATGTATATGGTTAATGAATCCAAAGTGCACTGGCAGTGTATATTATAAGCATTATAAAATGGGAAGTGCAAAAATGTCCAAACATAAGCACCATTATAATTTTTCCAAAGATCTCAACAGGGAATTTGACAGGAATCATTATTTTTGCATTTCCACACTTCACCTTTTAGGAAGTACAAGCAAAATCAGATAAGGATACCTATGTCATAGGAGAGGAAGTCGGAGGAGAAGCATTTGGCCCCGTTACTGAGTGAGGTGTCATTATGAGTGTTTCCCCCGAACACCAGAAGAACTCCACTGATCAGCACAGCGGAGTGGAGGTACCTTGCCAGGCCGCTTTCCTTCAGAATAAACCTGGGGAGAGGCAAACACACATCTCATTGGCTATTGTATTGCAGCATGTGCTGAGTGTTTAGCGTATGGGATGGAACAGTTGGTCTGAAGGTCACTCTCCACAGGCTAGGTCAGATACACAGACGGACGCCATCAGTAATATGGCACCACAGAGACATCTACCCACACATAGAAATACATGTGTATGCATAAGCGCCATTTATGCACACACAATCACAAACTCACAAAACTTGTATTGTAAGTACGACACATGAAGAACCAGTCGGTATTTACATTGATTTAAGTCTCACAAGCTTTAAAGGACAAACTCCGTATTTTACACTTAAAGCCCTGTTTTAAGATTGTCTCTGATGAAATAGAACGGTTAAGATTGAAATTTGGACACATGCTGCTGGCCCGAGAATTTTCGGTTTCTGTGGTAGCATCTGCGTTTTCTTAATCTTAATACTGGGTGTAAACAGGGTCAGACAAAATATTTCAGTAACGTTTTTTGATTCACATAAAAAAAATAGTTTGTTCAGGAATCGGACTACACTGGTAATGCTAAATGTTTTTGGTCCTCTCAAATGAGACGGCTCCTAAGAGGTGTTCAATTGTGTATCAGACTACATGGACCACACTGCATGATTCTGATTCATTAAAATGTTGTGTTCTTGTGTGATATAAACACACATTTGAGAAATGAGAAACTAATTTTCATATTCCCTTTTCCCTCTATTTTAAATTCTACCCTAAATTTCTCACTTCAAAAAGGCAAAATGGGTTCCTAGATTCTTTCAACACTTCTCCCTTTTGCTTTCCATCCAATCTGTTATGTCTGTTTAGACCTCATTGTGATTGTGTCTGTGAGGATACACACTCTGTGTCACTCTGTATCCACTCAGCACACCTCTCTACACTGTCAAACACTCCAAGCCCTGTAAGCGAAGTGTTGTTTGATGCATTGTGCAGCTCCTTTCACTTGCTTTGCCAATCAAAAGCCAGAGAGTGAGAAAAATCGCAGTGTGCATGAGTGAGAGATCCTTGCATTTAAGGGTTTTTTAAGCTTTTAGAGACAGGTTTCACCGTTAGGCCAAGCAAAGACACAGTATAAAGGCAAAGAAAAAAAATGGGCATGTGTCTTGTTTTTTAATGTCTTCCATCTGCAAGAACAGAAGATGGTGACGTTCTAAGAGAAATGGATACAAAAGCTTCCTTTGTGCAGCCGACAACTTTTAAGTGAACCATCTTTGAGCATGAAAAGAAACGAATGTGAGAACGAAACCTCAAATTAAGTTCTACCGCTACTTTGTGCTTTGTCATAAAAGCATTGGTGGTACCTCTGAATTCAATTGTAGGCCAATGCAACGTTCATTATGAACAAATGTCATAATCTTTCCAAGTTAAGTTTTTAGTAAAAAGTCATTTCGATACAAATAGTAGCACCAAAAGCAGACACAATCCATCTGTTTTAGCGACCAGACAACACCAATAGCATGAGTTGAGTGGGACTACCTGTTTGGTGCCACTAGTGGTGCACAAATTACACCCTTCCTTGATCAATGCAGTATGGTCTAGCTAGTCTTAGGCTGTAATAACTGGACATAATAGTTTACCTAGTTTGCCTGTTTCAGATAGTCAAAGTTGCTCTGCAGTTTTTAAAACCCTTCCCCTCTAAGCAGCCAATAGACTAGCCTGACCAGACTGGCAGACCAGTTAAAACTAGAAAATGACAGAATGTCAGAATTCTGTCATTATTTACTCACTATGTCATTCTAAACCTGTATGACTCTCTTTCTTCTATGGAACAAAAAAGAAAATATGTATTATTTTATTTTTATTTTTTTCAAAAGAACTTTTTTTGTTTTGTTTCCACCATTCGGCCCCACTTTATATTAAGTGTCTTTAAGTACTATGTACTTACATTGAAAGTAATAATTTGATGCAATGGACGCATTGTGTACATACATGTTTTTACATTGTACTTACATTTTAAAAATACCTGCATGTAATTACAGCTGTAATTATGTAATTACATTTGTAATTACACTGTTGACCTTAACCCACCCTTAAACCTTACCCGTATCACACCTCAATAGCAGCAAAAGTGTTTTACAATACAACAGGAACACAATAACCTGTTGTACTTATTTTTCGATGTAAGTACATAGTACTTAAAGCCACTAAATATAAAGTGGGACCCAACATTCTTCTAAATATCTTATTTCGTGTTCCATAGAAGAAGAAAAAAACGTCATACATGTTTGGAACATGATGGGGAAAAAAAATTCTACCCCTTAATTATTATTTACATCTCGACATGGATGAAGGAACATCACCTGCAGCTCAACCTGGCTAAGACTGAGCTTCTCATCCTCCCTGCCTACTCGTCTCTAGAGCACAACCTCAATCACCCCATCAAGGTCAGTCAGAAATCTTGGAGTAACCTTTGATGATCGGCTGACCTTCACAGACCACATTTCAAAGACAGCTAGATCATGCAGGTTTGCTATGCACAACATCAGGAAGATCAGGTCTCTCCTAACTGAGCATGCAACACAACTTCTCAATCAGGCCCTAGTCATTTCTAGGCTTGATTTACTGGACTTCCATCATGCGCAATTAAACCTCTACAAATGATCCAGAATGCTGCAGCTAATCTGGTCTTCAACGAGCCCAAAAGGGTCCACGTCACTCCTCTGTTCATCTCTCTGCACTGGCTGCCACTCGCTGCTCGCATCAAGTTCAAGGCGTTGACACTTGCGTACATATTGGCCACAGGATCAGCTCCCTCCTACTTCCACTCATTACTACAAGTCTATATCCCTAGCAGAAGCCTACGATCAGTCAATGAGCGACGGCTCGAGGTACAATCACAGAGAGCCTCAAAATCACTCTCCGGAACATTCTCATTCACGGTACCCATGCTAGTGGAATGATCTCCCTACCCTCATCCGGAATGCAAAATCCCTGTCAGCATATAAAAGACAACTGAAAACTCTTCTCTTCCGTGAGCACTTAACATAAAAAAAATATAAATAAATAAAAAAGTCCTTTTCTTTTAAATCCGTGCTTCTCTGGCTTATGCTACCAGTGCAATGTCTGAACTATGTATTTTGAGCACTCTTCACGATGACTTGCTTGGTTTAGTGCTCAGTTGTAAGTCGCTTTGGATAAAAGCGTCTGCTAAATGACTAAATGTAAATGTAATTTTTTATTTTTCTCACAGGGTTATTACAGAAATATTTGTAAAAACACCTGTGAAAAGTCTAGCATGTTGGATGGATTCATTTCTCTTGGACTAAATCTCCAAAAAAAAAAAAAACTCGCCCTGGCAACAGCAACCTGGCATCATTTATAGTGTCACTAACAGCTTATTTGTAACATAATTCATTCATGTCAGGAAGTCTTGGTCAGCACACTCACTGGCTTAGGGAAGATGTGAATCCTGCTCACATGTGTGCTAAGGGTCTGATTTGTGTGTGGATGAAAAGTATCCGTTGTTTTGTTTTTTGTATTTTTTAGAGGGCAGAGGGTGAAATGGTTATTCAGAGTCACACAATGATATACACAGGCAGGCACACACACTTTCATAGTTAAAGAGTATAACATGTACACAGTGTGGATACTCACCAGGTGTGCGTGTTGACCTGATAGCGGTATAAATGATCCACTAGGCCATATTTGTTGGCAGGGAGGGCTTTGTATCCTCCATGGACATATATGGAATGTGAGGAGCTGTCATAAACGCTGCTGTGACCATATCCTCCCTGCACCAGCGCTCCATTCGTCTCTGCCACCAACCAGGAGTTAGTGCCTGACATAGAGTTAGAATTTACTCTTAGAAATTCATAAGTGCATGTCACATTATTACTCAGAAATCATTCCAATATGCTGAATTGATGCTCAGGAAACTTTTCTTATTATTAACAATGCTGAAAACCTTTGAGTTGCTTCATATGTGGAAACTAAACAAAATTCCTGATTGAGAGAATTTTAAAAGAATTATCTAAGAATTAAAATATACAATTAAAAACTGAAAAAGAACAAGAAAGGATCAGGCAAAAAAAAACATCTTTCTTGATCTAGTTATACATAAAATCAGTGTAAACCCTTTAAAATGTAGAGTTGTAGTTGTAGGGGTGTAATTGGACACAACTGACTGTTTGGTAAAGTATGTACCTCGGTTTTAAAATGACGGTAGGGTTCAGGAAGGGGGAGAAAACTAAACATAAAATAGCTTTTTTATTATTAAACAGTGCTTTACTGAACAAATGGTGTCTCTGTCTTTGAATTAATTAAATTATAATTAAAATTATCTCTGGTTATGCTATAAACTATTTATGGAGCTCTTACTTGCACATTAGTGAGTTATAATATTAATGGTTAACAACAGAGCCCATATAGCATAAATTCAGTTGCTCTTTTTAGATATCAACACTCAAATAACAAAATGTATGCAAGTATGTAAACATTACATATAAGGCCGTTTTCGCATTAACTTCTAAATCTAATTATAACATTGTTTTTACTCCAATTTGTTGTAGAAATAATAATTTACACAGTCAGTGGCTTTATTCAAACATAACGTACATTGGCCAGTCGCGCGTAGGTGTAGAGCGCTGCCAGCCAATAGGAACGCAGGAAATTTCAGGGAGGCGGGCCAGAAAAAATACACAAAATCATAGGTTCGAGTCCCGTCTCGACCACAAATATCATATTGTATCTAGATTAAAAAATGATTACAAATTCATGTCAAGTACGATTTACATATAATAAACTAAATTTTTTCTGAAAATAGAATAAAACTTTTAAGATTTGTTTTTGTGTAGGATGTACGAAATGTCCAATTATCTCAATAAACATTTAAATTATAATAGGGTATAGTTCTCTTTTAATATAGAAAATATTTGAATGTGAATAATTGTAAAGAACATTTTGATAATGTTTTATACCTTTATTTTTTTTTTTAGAGAGATTTTCACATTATATTTCTTTAACTATGCACAAAAATCCAATATATATATATGAAAAACAACCAGTAAACACCAAATAGTAAGTTTATCATTTTATTTATAATACAATAATATACATATTATTATGTAAAACTGAAAAAGGTACTGTATTAAATACTTATAGATTAAAAAACAATAACATGAATAATAACAATAATAATAACAACATAAAGCTGGGGAAAAAACAAGATTTAAAAAAATAACAAATAATTATGTACAATGTTTAATTAACAGTTATTAAGTTTACACATCTGACCAAGATAAAATAATGCAAGTCAATAAAATTAACTTTAAAAACACACCAAATTGCAATGCAAACAAGGACTAAACTGTTTGATTTTAATGGACAATGGAAAGAAATTTAACAATTTAAAATTATAGATTAAATAACAGCAATAATAATATGGCTGTGGAGAAAATGAAAAAAAAAAACAAGAACATTTTTAAAAGTAAATAATTATGTACAGTGTTTAATAGTAACAATACTTAATATTTAGTGTTTTTTCAAATCTGAGCAAGATAAAATAATGCTAGTCAATAAATGAACTTAAAAAAATACAATGCAATGCAATAAAATACAATACTTTTGTAATTTTAATGAACATCCATATATATATATATATATATATATATATATACAGTGGTGTGAATAAGTGTTTGCATGGTTTTACTTCAGTTAGCCTAATAGCTGGTTTGATTTGCATTGAAAGATGATCTTATGGTAAGTACTACCCCATGCCAATCTCTAGGTGTGGTGGAAGGTGTGTGATGATGTGGGGATATTTTAATTCCAAAGGCCAAGGGAACTTTATCAGGATGCATATTATCCTGGATCCATTAAATAACTGGCTTTTAAAAATAAAAATCAGCCTGACTCTATGGGAATTTAACATAGGGGTGCCCTGACTTATGCACCCTGTATTTTGAGGAAAAACATTTATTTATTTATGATACATTATTCATTCACAAAGAAAATTTGTGTCCTTAAAGGTTGGAGTTTTCCTCATTTTTCTAATTAAGGCATTAAGATCAATATCAAAAAGATTATTTTTATTCCTCTTTTTAGGCAACTTTAGCATGGGGGCAAACACTTATTCACACCACTGTATATATATATTAAAAGTGCATTAATATGTATAATATTGTATATGCGTGAATAACACATTTAATACACGTGTGTAATGCACGTCTTTACTTTTGTGTTCAAGTAGCTGGGAACAGGGGTTTCAGTGAGTGCAGACAGCATTGGTGCAGGTGTAGAGGCTGATTGTGCTGCGTGAGATGGTGCAAAGCCGATGTTGTTGGAGGAGCTGCAAGGAAAAGCACAGGGAGGAAATTAAAAACTGAATGTACATATGTATTTGATTGTCTTGACTACATTAAATGACTAATCATTATTTATTCTTTTATTCTATTTATTCTGTTATTTGTTCTAGTAATGCACATTCTGATAATGTTCAAATGCTTGTAAGTAAATAGTCAATTTTTTCACAACAAATAACAGTTTAGCATGCATACAATTCATGAAGTGCACCCACCTTCACCACTGGTATATTCAAACCTTAACAGTAGTTAGAACAAAAGAACATGGAGGATAAGTATGTAATTGAATAAGCCTCAAAAATGGATGTGTAAAGTAACCTGTTGTAAATAAGACTGTGGATCCTGTGGCTGCAGATGAGCCTAAAAATTACGCATTATAATTTGAATGGTTTCTCTCCAGTATGTTCAATTTTTATTCCAATTTTATAAGAATTTGACATGGGTATATATAACACACATGACAAGATACTTGATTTACTTACTCAGCTGTGTGAGATATTTTGTTGGAGAAAAACTTTCCAGTTCTTCTTCCTCCTCCATTACTATAAAATAAATAAAATAAAAAAATATAAAAATATATATGCAGAAATGTATGCATGTATATATAAAAAGTTAACAAGTTTAACTAATTAAAAATGTTAAATTGTACTATTAAATTGCACACATATATCTATTTGTTCATAATTTAAATGTAATATGTGTGTGTGATATTAATTGCAATATAGGAGGACCAAACCTGCAGAAATTAAACATTAATAAGTAAAAAAAAAAGATACATTTGATAATAGGAAAATAAATAAAGGAATAAATGACTTGATAAAATAAATATGATTTATTCTTAATCAAAATCATTTTTGTATTTTTTTCCCTTCCCTTTCTGCTTTTATTTATGTGTTAATTAATATTTATATTTGGTAAGCAAGACCAACCAACCTAATTATCATGCACATCAATAAATGAAATACTGTAAAAATAGATATAAAACTAAAGAAAGAAAATTTAAATAAATAAAGGTTAAAACAAATATATCTGGAAATAAAAACAAATTGGAATAAATAAATATATATATTAATATAATATATTAATAATATATAAATATATATATATTATATAAAATAAATATATAATTAAATGAATGCATAAATAAATATAAGAATAAACTGAACAAAGAAATAAAATAATAAATAAATACAATTAAAACGAATACAAATACATTAAAATATAAAAGCAAAAAATGATATATTTGGGGGAAATTATACAAAAGTATATTTGATTAAAATGTTATCATAATTATTTTATCAAGTCGTTTATTCCTTTATGTATTTTCCTATTATCACATTTAATTTTATTTATTTATTTATTTATTTATTCATTCATTCATTTATTTATTTATTTATTCATTCATTCATTTTTAACTGCAGGTTTGGTCCTCCATACTACTGCACATTACATCTTTCTGCAATGTTAACTTATATTTTAAACATAGTTAAAGATTATGATGAAACATTCACCTTTACAAACAAAGATACTCTTATAAAATAGCTGTTTCTTATCGTCACAATCCATTCAACACGATAACAATACGATTACATGACAATACATGCAATTTAAATGATAAAATATTTGAATAATAAAGTATATGCACTCACCTGAGTTAAAGTCTGTCTGCAGGTAGTTTAGACAAAACGAAACAAGTTTGCTGACAAGTCGGTAAACAAATATCTCTCCGGTAATAAAACGGGTTGACAGATGACGCTTCGCTTTTTAAATTCCCCGCCACGGAAAAGCGAAACAGCGCCGGGAAGTCTACGTGTGGCCAAAAGTAGATTGCATCCGTAGTGTTAAGCACTACCATAGAGAATGAATGGGAAAAGTTAAGGGAAGTTAAGCTTAACCATTTTCGGCTCCCGCGCGCGGGAGGCCCGGGTTCGATTCCCGGCCAATGCAACGTTGTTTTTCTTTTTGTTGCTGTTTTTGTTTTGCAATGCAAACACGTGACATTTAACTTTAATAGAAATTGGGAAACAAACAAGTATAAAATATATTAATTAAATACACTAAAACATAAAAAAAAGAGAGGTTGCATGACTATCTAACATGCTGACATTTTATATGCTAGCTTGACTTCAAGACCAGGGTAAGTGCTCTCTGGTAGAACATCTGAAATCAATTACACACGACAGAGAAGATACCATGGATAAGTGTTCTCTGCCTTTCATTGATATCCTGGCTTGTTACATCACTACATATTTATCTATCTAAAATTTAAGCAAGCTTCTCTTCAAATATTGCGTCACTCTAATTTTGCCAAATTCTTTATGTCATCAAGTTCACAGATGCGCAGTCGGGGTGCACATTCATTTTCAACAGCTCTAATAAGCTCATGTATTTATTTAGGGAGGAAAAACTGAGGGAAAAAACGAGTGGGGAAATGCGAGAGCATAAGAAAGAAAGATTTAAGTGGAGTCTCAACAGAGCTCAGACACATTAATCACTGTTCAATCCCAGACAGTGCACTTCAGGTACCACCACTTCTTAATGACCTAAAGCATGAGTGTGTGTTTGAGTGGGTGTGTGTTTGTGACAGAGAGTGGACTAGAAAAATACCACTGAAAGAAAAGAACCTTCACTTTAATGAGTCTGGCCGTGTCAACTCACCATGTCGGCAGTAAAGTGCTGTGCTAATGACATGTTATATTACACTGCCATCTGCTGGAAGCCAGAGGAACTGTCTGCATTTGTCAAATTTACATCAACACAACCACATCTTAAAGCTTTAGTTCACTCAAAAATGTAAATTATTTCATTAATTACCCACCCTCATGTCATTCCAAACCCATAAAACTTTGTTGATGTTTATATGTGAATAAAAGACTAAATTCAATCTGTTCATCACATAAAGCGATCGTGTCTCTTCAAAAAAAATTGACTAAACCGCTCAATTTATATGTATTAGGATTCTCTTTGTGAACAGTTGCATAACTCTCAATGGAGAGACAGCTCTCAGATTTAATCAAAAATATATTAATTTGTGTTCCAAAGATGAATGAAAGTCTTACTCGTTTAGAACGGCATGAGGTAATGAGGGATATGAGTAATTAATGACAGAATTTTCATTTGGGGGTGCACTAACCCTTTAAGACTGTCATGAAACTACATGAAACTCATGGTGCAATCAAGTCCTCCTGGGAAATTCATATTTTTGAGTTCGTTCAAATCACTTTGGTTGAAGCGAGATGGCAATGTAACTTCTACTTGAACATTCAACAACATTTTTTTAAACTCTACAGCTACAAATTGACACAAAAAAAATGCGTGCGTGTGTCAGGTGTGTTTTTGTTCTCTGTTTTCATTCACCTTGGAAACTCTGGGTTTAAACAAAATCCAACGTTTCTCACACATTCCTTAAATGTGTAAATACAATCTTTCTCACATGACTTGATTGCACCATCAGTTCACGAAATATTTTCTCAATAACAGTTCCATATTGGCACTCACGAATGTTGTACTCCTGGACGTGGCTGAGGTAGCTATAAATTGGTGAATAGCCAAAAAACACCACCATGATAGGCTCTCCATTTCTGTTGTCAACTATATGAGCAGTATGTCCCTCCACGGCGAAGTGTTGGGACTGCAGCAAGGGACTGGGCGTCCTGAGGGACCAGGAACGGCTACGTGTATCAAACTGCCACAGTTCATCTGTTATGTTCCCAGAGCCTGCCTCGAGCTTCCCACCAAACATGTAGATATCATCCTGCAAAGAGCAGTGAAGAGAAATGAAGACATTATGAGATCCTGTGCAAGCATTTGAAGCATTACGTCCCCTCAGGCTGAGCAAAAGTTGGACACCAATTTCCCAGAATCATAGGAGCAGATATTCTCTTGCGTATACAGCCAATCAATACACTGCATCTAAAAAGGACTCCTTGGAGAAAAGACTCAAGCCTAGTAGTGACACTGTTTGAGTCTACTAAATATTTTTGAGTTATACGGTTTTGTTTTATGCGGACTGACAAAAGAAAAGGACTGCTGCATTGGCCGGGAATCGAACCCGGGCCTCCCGCGTGGCAGGCGAGAATTCTACCACTGAACCACCAATGCTCACGTGAAATTAGAAGATGTTCTCCAGGGGTCATGTGAGGCTAATGCACATGTGGAACGTCAACAATAGTAAGCACTTCTTTAGACTATTTACTATTGTGATTATGAAAACAGACAAATTTGATTATAACAGCTTTGATTTGCAGTCAAAGTTTGGGGTCAGTAAGACAGTTTACACAAATGTGTTAAGCAGCACAACCGTTTTCAATATTAATAATATTATTCAGAAATAAAACACATTTTAAAATAGATTTAAATACATTTTTTAAATATTTAAAGGCACACCGCGGAACTTTTGGCCACTAGAGGCGCTCGACCTGTAACTTTCACGTCTAGCGTCCCTAGAGGCCACAAGCTCCGCAGCACTGTCGCAAAAGTCAACAAACAGTCAACTGTGACGAAAACATACAGACGGCAATCAAACGCGTGTTGAGGACTCACGTCAGAATCTGAGAAAGTCGGGGGTGACGTATTGACATACGCCGTAAAGCGGTCGAATTTTGTAGTTCTTTTTGTGCTCGGGTTCCACCCCGAAACCCGAAGTTACATAGTGCCAGTAAAAGCGATACAGACACCTTCAGGCTACGGCAGACGTGTCAACATATGTAAGTCGATGTACCATCTCAATGGGTTTTGTTAATATGTTATAAAGGTTGAAAAGTTTCACAGTGTGCCTTTAAAACATAATAGAAAACAGGTAATTTATTTTGTAATATAATAAATTGTAATATTACAGTACTTTCGATCAAATAAATGAAAACTGTGATAAAAATATTATCCTAATATTTGTGTTTGTGATATGTATTACGCATCATGTGTTCATATTCAGTTGATATACTTCTAATCCTCTGTAAATGCACATTAACTAGCCTGCTACTGCATTCCTATCATCGAAGTGCATTCAGCAGTTTATGACAAATAAAGGCATCTACAAGACAGCAGCTTAATGAAATACAGTCATGTGTATTTTGAACAGGACAATGACTTGAATTTGTCCATTTGCCTGGGACCTTTCTCCACAATGAAGGCAGTTCATTTAAAACATAATGTGCACAGAGAAAGTGTATATGCGTGATGAAAAGTGTGAGCTACAGTGTAAAATTCATCTGGAAAGAATGTGATTCATATAAATGTTTTCAGCACACATTTTCACAATAGACAAAACATTTTTTCTTTATTGTTCCTTCGTCCTATAAGTCATATGATTTTGTTTTGTGCGGACCGACAAAACAAAAGGACTGCTGCATTGGCCGGGAATCGAACCCGGGCCTCCCGCGTGGCAGGCGAGAATTCTACCACTGAACCACCAATGCTCACGTGAAATTAGAAGATGTGCTCCAGGGGTCATTTGAGGCTCATGCACACGTGGCTTCTTTAACCAATGCAATGAAAGTATGAGTCATTACTGACAGTTGAGAAACTAGAATATTTAATATGAGATAAAAGAGGGCTGGAAAAACAAACGGAAGGGTAATAAAAGAAATGTGTAGTATAACTGAGAGTGTGGCGTGTTTGTGCAGTCCCACATGACCACGTGACCTCCCGAAGCACTTTCATGTGAGCATTGGTGGTTCAGTGGTAGAATTCTCGCCTGCCACGCGGGAGGCCCGGGTTCGATTCCCGGCCAATGCAACAGTCCTTTTTCGTTAGTCAGTCCTGAAAACTTAAATCTTTATCATAACATTGAAATGAATACTTGGCTTAATTTACAACTGTTGTCATTTGGAATAAAAGCCGAATCCCTTTTCAATCTGAATGAAGGAAGTAAAAGCAACACAACTGAACACAGTTAACGCATAAAAGTACGGTTTATCATTAAACGTTAAGCGTTAAATGTAATGCTAGGTTTAGATGGCTCTATCACTCTTATTAATCGCTCAACTTCGATCTGAAATCACTCTGCAGCTTGATGTTTAACACCCTCCTTTAGATAGCATTTAGCCATAAACTGTCCAGCTTTTTAATGTAGTGATTAGTGCAGTACTTGTTAATTACAATTAGAATAATTTATGAATAATAAACACTAAAACTATTAAAATATCCAAAAAAAACATGCACCGTCCTTAAGTGCAACAAGTTTCTAAACACTATTTGAGCTTGTAACATTATGGACAACAATGACAGAGGTTACATCTTTTCAATTGTAAATCAATGGTTCTGCATATCAATGGCAAACAGTTAAATCACTCACTGAGGCATTGTTATACAAAGTATAGAGACTAGCATCATGTTTACCTTGTAAAGAGCCAGAGAGTGTCCATAGCGCTGCAGAGGGCCACCATTGATTGGCACCACATCCCATGTGCTGCTTTCTAGATTATAGCTGAAAAACAGACAGAAAACTGTAAGGAAAGGAAGAAAGAGAAAGTGTGGTGTGCTCATTGCTAGCTAATAAAAGTGGGGAAAGTAGTGTATATGGTGTATAAGGTATATGGTAAAAAAAAAGTAATATTGTGAAATTTTATTAGAAATACAATTGATGTTTGTCCTATTTGAACATATTTTAAAATCTAATATATTCCTGAATTATGTGATGGCAAAGCTGAATTTTCAGCATCTTTAACTCAATTCTTCGGTGTCACATCTTCAGAAATCATGCTAATATGTTGATTTGGTGCTCAAGAAACATTTCTTATTATTATCATCATCAGTGTTGAAAATCCTTCCTGCAGCTTAATAGTTTTGTAGAAACTGGGACAAACAGGATACGCTGAACACGGATTAAAAAAGGAGAGAACAGATGCTCCGGCAGAGCAAATACTGTACCAGGCACAGCAAGCTCACTATTCGCGATGCTCGAATTATAGGAAGAATAATATAAAATCGGGGGTGGGGTTTATATAAATGGACCTCTGAAGGGAACTGACTGTCTTAAGAAAAGTTTTGATGGCATTTTCTTTTCCACTTACCTATGTATAAAGTAGTGCTTTGTGTACTGTTGTTCCGTAAGCGCCACCTACTGTCAGAGAGTGAATTTTGCATTTTGATTCAGTCTTCCTGTTGTCTGTTTTGTGCAAGTGTGCTGTAGCACCATTTCACAAAAATAAAGTCAAATTCTGTTTTTGTTTTAAATATTGAAATTATTCAATATTAAAAAATTAAAAACAACTGCTCATGCTTTATGTGAATGTGTAGCATCTCTTTGTTTGGATCTCTGCTTTTTGCAGTGGCTTCTTTAACCAATGCAATGAAAGTATTGAGTCATTACTGAGAGTTGATGTAGAGGGCAGGAAAAAAGGAATGGAAAGGTAATAAAAGAAATGTGTAGCATAACTGAGAGTGTGGCACGTTTGTGCAGTCCCACATGACCACGTGACCTCCCAAAACACTTTCATGTGAGCATTGGTGGTTCAGTGGTAGAATTCTCGCCTGCCACGCGGGAGGCCCGGGTTCGATTCCCGGCCAATGCAACAGTCCTTTTTCTTTAGTCAGTTCTGACATTAGAAAACTTTATCATAACATTTCTTGGCTTAATTTACAACTGTTGTCATTTTGGAACAAATACATTTGCTTTAAATCATGATTGGTGCATCACTAAAAGGAACCCATGTGGACTTCAGAAGGCGGAATACTGGCTGATGATGTCACCACCAGACAGCAAAACTTACTTTATAACCATCTGAAAGGAGCTGTAGTTAAAGGTAAACCCTCCAATCACCCACATCAGCTTCCCAAGAACCACTGCTTTATGAGAAGCCCGGCCTAGTGACTGTCCATCAGGCTTCACGTTAGGCAGAAACCAGTGTGGTTCAGTCGAAGGAAATTTTAAAGAGCAATCTGGACCTGATATGGGAAAGAAAGATCAGATAAGAAACAAGACAAGCAAATTAAACTACACAGAGGTGTGAGGTGTACAGGACCTGTGTGAGTCATGAACTCTAATTTAAGACTCTAAACAAACACTGAGGGCTACTTACCAGAACTGTGGACAACTTAGATTAATTTCTATAACATGGTTAAGAAGTCAAACATCTCAACTAAACATGCTCTATCTTGCTTTGAATTTCAAATGCTATAACTCATACCCACAAAAAACGAATTAAGATTACTTAAAATAAATAGCTGAATAAATGGTTATAAAAGTAGAAGTAAACACAAAATAAACACTGAGGTCAACATTTGCCGTTGCAAAGCTATGAATCAAATTGCATTAGCATGAATGAGAATTTGCCACCAGAATGTTGAAGGACATTTCCAAAAATGATCCAACACTGCCATCTAGTGATTGTAAAACATTTCTCTAAAAGAATGAGGTTGCCAGTTTACGCCAAGCAGTCTTTTCCAAACTCTTTTCCAGTTATCTCCACACAAAAAAAAAATCACATAATCTTGGAATCTCAATAACAGAAATACAAAAAAGTCAGTTCCTTTAAAATTACAGTCTATTATTTAAGCTGCGAAGATTTTGCTTACCCAAGCCTTAGGCGTACTGGTCAATTAATTAAACACTATAAATTACTATAAAGTACATTGTTTGAGGTGTACCATAAAGCTTATATGGTATAATGTTTAAGACTTAGGCAGAACTTTTGCACAGAACTGATGAAGTCCAGCATCCGCCAAGGACGAGTCAGAGTACAATCTGGACGGTTTAAAAGTTGTCCTAATGCTGGACAGGAGAAGTATTCAGTTTTAATTTTGATTAAATCATTCAATTGTGCTCTTATTTCAGAATTATATTTACAAAAAGCCTTCAAGTCATCCTCCAACACAGGTGTAATTCACATTTTGAGAATCGAGTCACTTTCCCACTTATATTTAGGACACTTTTGCATTGCGATGGCTTGAATATACAGCTACATGTCGTTCAAAATCTGGTCCATTGCACATTTTTTTGACATGACCCAGCATACCTGGTTTAAGAAGTCAATAATATAGGGGGAAAGAAAATATATAATGTATAGTGTTTGCATTTACATAAAGTTTAGCTTTTTAAAGAAACCAACATCTTTTTGGAGGAATGTTATTGAGATTTTAAGATAATATGCTGTTGTCATATACTGTATGCATGATGACTTGTATTAAAAATGTATTAAAAACACCTCATGTTGTACGTGCATTATAAAATTAGCCAAATTATCACTGATAACCAGAAGGTGGCACTATTGACATGAAACTTTTTTTAGTATATTTGTTCAGGTATATGCGGTCATGTTCTGGAACTCTGTAATCAACATATTGAAGAAAAATGCAAGAATGTACACTACTGTTCAAAAGTTCGGTATCAGTAATATTTTTAATGTTTTTTTTTTAAGTTGTACAGACCAAGGCTATGTTTATTTGATCAAAATACAGTAATACTTTTATAACTAAAATAACTGTTTTCTATTAATTTCAAAACCAAAAAACTTACTGACCTAAAAAAATTGAAAATAAACTTGTACAATATCAAAAATCAGTGCAACATTTTACAAACTATGTGGAGATATTCAATACAGCAGTATCCAGTGTCATGCCAACACGTTCAATGAACGAAATTATGAACGCATTCATAATTTGGGCGAAAGTGAACTGAAAGTACTGTATTACTGCCTGATGAACGTTACTCTGCAATAGGGTGCCAGATTTCTATAGAGCCTTCCAGGTGCTTTGCGCACCGTCGACAAAGCAGCGAGCGAGGAGGCGTCGTATGATTATTTAAATGGTTTATGATGAGGTCGGAGAGGATGGGAAAAATATTACAACATTGTGCAAACTACCCATCGATAAAATAATTGTTGTCTGTGGTTGTATATGGGCTGTGGCAAAAAAAAAAAAAAGAAGCTAACATATGGAATAAAAGCATGAACTATGAACTGAACTAGTTCATTTTAAAATTTGTGAAATGAACTTTGAACTAGTTCATGTAGAACGTGAACTTTCCCAACACTGGTAGTATCATATAGACATCTGAACAATTATTGTCCCCTCACCTTGCCAGCTGTCATTGCAGACGCAGAGCTTTTCTCCGGTGAGGTCGCAGTATCCACGGTCAGGACTGCCACAGTCATCCCAACAGTAGGGAATATCACACGCCTCACCTTTCCAGTATCGCTCACACTCGCAGTAAACACTGCTAGAGATGAAGTTGCCCGTAGTACACCTTCCATGACCTGAACAGTTGTTAGGACAAGAGTTTAGCCTGAAAAACACAGCAGGGAGAGAGAGTGATCAGTACAATAAACAAATGAACAAATTACTTAAAAAAAAAACTTATGAAAGCATTGCCACTGTATAACAATACTCACGAATATAAGATGTTGAATCCTGTAAGATTGTAGGCAGCATCACTGAAAAAGTGCAACAACGCGTATCCAGATGTGGTCACCACCTCTGGAATGGTTTCATTTCCTTTTGTTTCTGGGACAACCAGGCCACTGGACATGCAAGAGTATGACACAGGAATCAGATAAATTACGTCCTTCCTTTGAGTTCACATGTTCCACTCAGCATTCAGCATCTAAATAAATCTCCATGCTCTTGACAGTTCAATATTCTTCAAATAAAGGCCCTTGAGTCCGAAATTTTCACATGCTTTTTTTTTTTGTATTCGTGATTCAGTGGCTCTCAATTATCAAAACACCATTCAAACTGCTTGCTACGGATGCAAAAAAATGCAGAAAATCGAACCCGATCTGATTTTATTTATGACGGAAGAAAGTTTCAGAGGCAGTGTGCAAGCATGATTGACATAACGTGAGGTCGTATTTATTTTTGCGAAAATTTCGGGCGTGAATTTCGGACTCGGTGTGCAAGGGCTTTAAGGAAGAAGATAACCTCACATTAAGTGCTTCAGCACAACAAGTGGACACCCAGCTGGGACTCTTAGTTAGACACACCACAGAACACAGAGATGCGATGGACCAGATACCGGACACCAACACAAACACACACACACAGCAGGTACTTTATCTGAACACAAGGTCCATCCCATTAGAAAGGAATAAGAGATAGCACTTCAAATGAAAGAGAGAAGCAAGCGTACTACTTTACATTTAATGTGACTTGAATAATATTATCTCTATATTTAGGCTGGCAAATTATCCTTGTGAGAATGTGATTTTTTTTTCCCTTGCATATTAATAGCAAATATGATTGTTACTTGCAGCATTGAATGTGAGCTATTCTCTGTCACTCAGAGTGCAACAGTCCCCAGCCACTTTTTCAGCAGGCTTGTTTCCGGAAGGATTTTTCCCATAGGGATTTTTTAATTATTATTCTTTATAAGAGTTATAATCGATGAACCAAACCTAACTGTTATAAGGTGAATCACAACATTACAAACTTTGAATTAAAGCAAAAAATGCAAGACTGTACTTGATGACTTTAATGAGGGAAAGAACTACAATCCCATGAAGCACAGATATAAAACTAAGGATTTAATATTTTAAATAGATATACAGAAACACTATATTTTATATTTATTGCAAAATAGGCATATACTGTATATCCAAATATTTCTTCACGGGGGTGGGTGGGCATTAAAGAGTTCTTTTGGAGCAATTTGCATGTTCCATTTGTCTGATTTTTAGAGGTTTCTTTGCTGAATAATGGGCAATGGATGTATGCAATGCAATAACCAAGAATTCCATGGTTAAATAGGATTATTTTAAAAATAACAAAGCAAATATAATCGATTGACAACCTCAAAGTTCATGATGGGACCAAATTAGCATAATCTTTCCACAAACTGTCTGTTTAACCTTATTTACTTTAGTCACAGATTACGTTTAACTGCAAACCACTCACCAACCAAGGTCCATAATCCGATTAAAAAAAAGTTTTACACATGGGGTCCGGATATTTTGAATAAATATTTGAAAAAAACTAAGATATGCACATTTTTTTTCCCATTTTGATTTCATGCCATTTATTACTCTGAATTGTAGCAATTTTAATTAAAACATGAATCCTCAATCCTTTTCCTTAATGGAAAAAATAGGCCAGTAACATTTTTAATTGTTAGACTGACAGTGCTTTCATCTGTGCTATTTTTTTATTTATTTTAATGCTTGTAAAATAAAAAAAATATATATCAGTAGTTAACCACCATTTCATAGAAAAGAAACAAGAATAACTTTAGATTGAAATTCCATGGGTCAGCAGAGGTTAATACCCTCGCAACGCTTTCAATTGAAAAATGTATGTAACGCCAAGGAAAGAGAAGTCTCATGTGCACACAAATGAAAGGTCAGCAGCATACATTTTCAAGTGAACTTCATGGGTGACTTAGTCTGATTTGATTCTACTGTGTTGTTGATTGGTTAAAGTTCCCCGTTCATTTCACTGAATTGGACATACGATTTTCTGATGGTTTTGTTATACGTTTGTTTATGTACAATATATTCTTTTGTACATTAAATAATAGATAAATAATAAGTCTTAGGTCAATGCAATGGTTTGTATCCACTCTGTCAGGGTGTGTGAATTACAATGCTTCCAGTCCCACTCACCTAAACACAGCTATCAAAGGTGCATAAATAGAGTCTCCATCAAAAACATACATGTGATCCCAACTGCACTCTGTGGCAAAATGGTTGAACCTCAACCTCAGCACAGCATTTGGGCTAAAATAAAAACAGAATATATATTAATTTGACACATAATAATAAGAGCAAAGACAGTTGTATTTCAATCATGACAGGTCTTGGAAGAGTTTTAGCATGTTATTGAATACAACAATCTTAATATATTTGGTCTTTGCGGACTAGATCAGCTACACTGTTGCTGCTGCTGCATAGCAATTATGAACTTGTGGCTAATAGATAGCTACTGTGCGCATGTAAGATATTCTACTGCCTAAATAGACATAATAAAATCATGTAACAGATCTAGGCAGGTGGAGCTGGGGGAGGTGGACGGTTTCAGAGGAACTCCAATAGCACACTGCAGGACTAGCTTACAGCAAATAAATGTTGAGCAAGCAATCTCATAGGCTGCAGGATCAGCAGAGGCCAATCAGCTTGTGACACGTAGTAATGATGTGATTGCCTGCAGATCGCATGTAAAATAACCTCAGCCTGTGCCCTATAGAGTTTCATGACTGAACTACTGTAAATATTTAAACCCAATGTCCACTAAAGGGACACGAGTAACAATTTAGCTCCAAACATTTTAATTAATTCTAATTTTCATTTATATGTTGCTTTGAACAAAAGCATCTGGTAAACAATAAATATAGATGTATTTGCGACAAAAAAAGACAGATTAGCTTGACATAGTGGTACTCACTATCCTTCAATGAGCCAAGTGCATTTAGTCTTGTACTTGTAGTTAACTGGTCCATCGGTGAGTGATCCTGAGGACTCTGTCAACCTGACAGAGAAAAATACAAAGATAAATAAATATCTCAAAACGGCCTTGATGAAATCAAAGCAAGAGAAAATCAAGTACAGTAAATTTGTAAATTTACGCAATTGTTAATTTGTTACTTATTTGTTAAACAAATGACTATTGTAGGGAATAATGCATATCATCTTTCTGTATGCTCCCTTAATAGGTTAAATAACAGATGAAATAGGTACAGCAGCATATACACCCCTGAAATTTGTAGGTACAGGAGGAGGATTTAAGACAGCAAACCACATCACAAGCACCAAAATGTATGAGCATATTAAAAAATAAATCAAACAGAATACGCTAAATCCGAATGAATAAATAAAAATCGGACCCTTAAACAAATATTTATAAAAAGTCAATACATGTTTAAAGAACACCCTTTTCCAAAAGGAAAGTTTTCATGCCTTAAGGTCCATGGAAAAAGGAGGGAAATGAATAATAAACTACTGTATGAACTCCACATCATGCATGTATGAGAATCACAAACATCTCTCCTTCCATAAAGAGCTACCATCACTTTCAGCTTATTAAAAGCCTATATTAAGAAAATAAATTCACTTAAAAATTTTGAATTAAGGACTTGGAAATGAAACGCCATCCACGTGGACCAACAAACTGATCATGTGACATTGGCACAACCATCTGCTCCTGATTAGTCCTCTTTCCCTTTCACCTTATTTTCATCCCTCCCTTTCCAACATAGAAATGAGGGCCATAATCCCAACGGATTGAAGCAAAAAAAAAAAAAATACTCATTTGTCCGAGAGTGGAGGAGGGCCAAGCTCAGAATATTACTGCACAGTAAAGAGCAAGTCACAGCAACTGCACAGAGATCAGCTTATCCATGAAAATCATGTTTATCACAAAAACAACACAAGAGGTGAAGATCCCCAGCAGAAGCAGCAATCAGGGCCGTTTGCTCTTCTGTGCACTGAAAGGGCTTAAAGTTGCCACAGTCATTGCATACATTGTATGTGCTGCACTTTATTTAAACCATTTTGTTTTATTAATATATTTTTATTTAACTTTTTTTTAGAATTAAAAATTTAAAAGTCCTGGAGTTTCATTTCACAGTATTTGTTTGAACTAGGGGTGTAACTCTTCTCGGTAGAGAGAATTTTTTAATAAATAAATAAAATCAAACCATACTGTACCATTCTCCACCCACGGTTTGGCACACATTTGCATTGCGGTTCACCTCAAATCTGATGACGCATCTATATTATGGTTTTTTGAAAATAGCAATGCGTAAAACAGACAGTTTCGCTAATGTATGTTTCTGTTTAAGGATGCACATGCTGGCTTAACAATAATAATACATAACAGCGATAGTCAAAAAATGTGAACAAAACGGTCACTCAGTCAAGTTTGTTTAATGCGAGTGCCGTATGCTCGAATGATTAAGCAGTCATCATCACCCGAGTGTTGATAGCGCGTGAGACCTGAACAGCACACGTTGCTATCTATGTTTAAACTATACTCATTTAAGCCTTGCCAATTTAAACATTTGAGTGCTAGACAAAAGAAAACTTGTGCGCACTGTGAGAAGATGTGTGTGTGCACTCTTTTTGAGTTCAAAATCACGAGTCCAAGATCAAGTCCAGACCGAACTTCCCGACCATAAAATGTTGTTGGCGGGGTTCGGGCTGGCATCCAGGCTACTTTTTTCCCTGAACATAGCACATACCGAACCGTACCGTAATTGTGAACCTAAAACCCTGAAACAAACCGAACCATTAAACCCCTAGTTCAAATAAATGCAAGAAACAAAACAAAGTGTTTAAGTTGTGAGGAGGGGAAAGGGGGCATTAATAGGGATCTCGCCTAGGGCTCCAGAAACAGCCATAGCACCAATGAGTCATCATAATGTAATGAATGTAGTTTTTCTTCAGTGACAACCATGAAATTAAATACAAACGTTATGACTTCTGTTTTGAGCATTCTACAATAGTGAATCACCGAGCTAAAGTGACTTTTTCATAACCACTAGAGCAAACACTCAAACTTTGTTTTCCAAAATTTTAGGAAATATTGTAAATGTAAATGTAAATTTTGCTGCAAAATGACAGTGATTATGTCACTGATTATCCCCTTGTGCTTTTGTTTAGTGTGGGCCTGGCCGTAGTAAAGCAGGAGCTCATCCATGTGTATTTTTCTTTTTTATTGACATAATTGTTCATAAAAGTGTCATAACTCAAAATGATATTTAGTCCTCTTAAACCGTGCCTCTATCTTACAATCGACAGCAGGATTACATACAGCCAGTTAACCAAAATTGGAGTCCCAAAATACTCCAAATAGTATTTTTGTTTAAAACGTGCTTCGATAATCTTCGTTTCATTTACAACTTTTGAAAACACAAAACGGAGGAATTTATCTGTCGCTATACTTTCGGTACTTATTTACTTGCAACTTTTTTTTTAAAAATAGAGAGACACTAATAAACAGGAGAAAGGACACAATCATTTATTTCCCCAAGCATTCTGCCTTCATCTCCTCTCCTCCACTCACTCATGTGTCATAAACTGTAACCTACTTTCACTGATGTCTGGGTCAGGATTGAGATTCTTCTAAAATATTTCTTATATTCGAAGGTGACTTAAAACAAACTAATTACAAAGATCCAAGGCACCAAGAGACTGATGTACACTGGTTAACAAATTGCAAACTTACAAACCAATTTTACTCCAATCAAACATAATGAGAACACAAAACATCCTTCTGAACTACAACCATAAACACAGATGAATACCTCAAGAATAACTTGTGACATTCACCTCAGCACCTGAACTCTGAAGAGAACAAAGACGACCGCTCTGATTCAAAAACCATTATTGAAATATATCAAGGCCAACATGGGAAAAATATATACTGTATAGCAACCTAAAGAGACACAGTCTAGCTGACTCCAGGAAAAGGAAATGGAAGCTATCAAACTTCATATCTCAGGGTAAGTATGAATCTTCCTGAAGTCTCCTCACAATAGGTGACATAGCTTTAATACCCATACCATTAATGTTTGTAAAGTGTCTTAAACTGCACAGGAATGAGCTAACGAACCCTAGCATATCAGAAAACAGTGTTTTATTCTACATTCTTCTCCCAGTTAACTCACAAATATTTGCAAACCATTTAAAAACACAGTTTGCCCAAAATACAAACCACATATGGCAAAAGTACACAGTAATCAATTCAAGCTATTTCGCCTCAAAGCCATCAATTTAAAGAACTCAACAGCGATGTGTTTGTTTGAAACAGTTGGGAGTAAACACTGAAAGATTGGTTAAAATTCACTTTTGTAAGAATGTGAATAAACCCTCAAGCAACATAATAAAGAAGGGGCACAATAACATTTTTCTTCATTAGTCGCAACAACGTCATCTGCAAATGATTTTTACTACACTATAGGGTGAATTCAAGGGAAGAAATTTCATAATCAAAAATTGTAGCTTTAATCACGACATGGAATTTGATAAGCTACCAGAAAGCATTTGCAATTGTCTTGTCTCAATCGCAATCGCATTAACACAATCCTATAATACTAATGAAATAGTGCAAGGTTACACCCAACAATGAGACCCACACAACTTACATCCACACAAACTAGTTTTAACGAATGCATATATTAGATTATGATTAAGACAAAAGGGCTAGTGAATGTCCGTCAGCAAGGCATGATCTCATCTTTTGGACAATGGAGAGTCCAAATCTGAGCTATAAAAGCACTACTGTTACACTAGAACAGCACTGACATTCTAAATGGAGACTGCGTCACTCTTACAAGAGGTGACAGGACTATTCTTAGACTGCGTTTATTGTAGGATGGGAACTGTAGAATTAAATGGGCACTTGGAGACACAACATTTTCATTTTTGTGGTTAACAAGTCTGATATGCCCTGTACCACATAGTAAATGTTTTTATTAGAGATACTCCTGCCAGCTCTAGCAACAGTATATCCTTTAAAGTGTTATGTTAGCGGAGACAAAAGATGTACGAGCTAAAAATATCACATGTTTCAGTTTCCATAATGGGTGGGGGGTTTCGGAAGTTAAGGACAGAGGCGTTTTCTCCGGGCTTGGGTTGTTGCAGTCCAAATAACAGATTATACAATAACAGAATAATTAATTTGCCTATTTTTATTGGTCACTACTTGCTGTACCATAAACAACGCAGAAGTCCTGAAGGTTGCAGATTATACAGATTACTGTGTAATTGGAGATTACACAGCTTTTATTTAACCAAGCTGTGTATCTTAGCACAGCTTACTGACAGATCAAGTTATTTCAAGTTCATTTTAATTTGATTTAGATGTGACCACATTTTTTCACGCATTTTCCATCATTTATGAAACAACACTTTCCCACCATTGACGAAATTTTCAGGCTTTCCATGTTTTCACTGTTATATATGGGCCGCTATTAGACAACTTTTGAAAGACTAAAGTTCTCACTGTTCTTTCTGATATATTGATATATTGCATGTGCAGAGAAAAAGATTTATGACAAAAAACAAAAACAGAGGTCAATCAGTTCTTGTTCATGTGAGTGATGATAAAAGACACGATCTAAGATATGTGCCAATAAACTGCAGACTCCCGATAAATAGTGATAGGTAGTTGACTCCAGAATTTGATTCCTCAACTCCGAATAGCCCTAGACTTGTAGTTGCACCAGCTGTGCGTAAATTACAACTCAGCCTAGTTTGACATAAATGGGCTCTAAGTTACAACTTACGCACTACTAAATATGTTTGCATTGCACCATTAAACTTATTTGAACCATACTCTATGTATAAACTAAATATTTACAGCAGCCTCCAATCAGGAGAAACGGTTTGATTAAAATAGCAGGCAGACTGAACTGCAACAATAAGCTCTTTTTTTACCTGACTGATTTAAATTCTTTAGACATAGGATAATGCTGACATTTAAACTCACTTACATTTTAAAAGAAAGAACATTATGTGAATAGATTA